GCCCCTCCAGAACTTGGGGGTCCTGGCTCCTTTCCCCTGCCGGTCCTCTGCCACGCACCCCACCACGGGACTTCTCACTGCTCCCTCCCCAGCTCACAGGACACAGTGTTTTTTCCTTTCAGCTCTGCATGTGACTCTCTCAAGCCGAACCCTGCAGCAAAATGTTCCTTAACATGAAAACTGCTCCCATTGCTCACCCTTACCTCAAAAGTATCATGAGCAGAGAGCCCCGGCAGCTTCTCCCTCACACTCCTCCAGGGATGCAGCAGGCAGAAATACCTCAGCTGCCCCCCCCCCCCCCCCCACAGGCAGATACACTGGTTCAGTTTCCCTGCTCCCTATAATTCTGTGCACGCAGACAACAGACAACCCTCCCCCATCCCACTCAAGCATACAGCATGAGATCACCTATCTCTCACAAAAAGACAGAGTAAAGGAAACTCCAGATAAGGTCAACATCAACACAGGTGATTGGAGGCCTGGGGGCAGTGGCCAGGGTTGCCAGTGCAAGGTGAGACTAAGGCCTTGTCCACACAAAATTTTTGCATCATGTGACGGTGCTGCCCGTGGGAGCCCGCTGAGGTCACTCAATCCGGGTGAACTGCAAACAGAACGGGGCAGACAAACCCCAGACGGTGGTGGATAGTCCAATACTTAGATTTACCCAGCCAGCCCAAAACAGCTTCTATAGCACCTCCCTGGGTTCTCAGACGTCCACACAACGCAGTTCCCTTAAAGTAGCTAGCCGCAGGCCTCCAGCCAGACACACACGTCAAACATAGGATGATAAATTCTGAAAATCTTATTTCATCATATAAAAGAAAAGGTTCTCCTGACCCCAAAGGGACCAAGCCCCAGACCCAGGTCAAATGATAACTCAGATCTTACCCCAAATACACGCTTACAGCCAGTTCTTATTAACTAAACTAACATTTATTAAAAAAGAAAAGAGAGAGAGTGTTGGTTAAAAGATCAATATACAGACAGACTTGAGTTCAATTCTTGAGGTTCAGATACACGGCAGAGATGAGCTTGTCGTTGCCAAAAGTCCTTTTAGAAATAGTCCATGGGTTACAGTCCAATGTCCATATTAAGGGTGACTCCAGTCAGTGACTGGGGATCTCAATCCTTATAGCTTAAGGTTCCCCCTCTTGAAACCCAAAGCAGATCTGAGATGAAGAAGGATCGTGTCCCAAGGTTTTTATTCATTTCCTGCAGCCTTTTGGCCTGAGAAAACAATCGGCTTCACTTTCCTTCTCCCAAACATCCTGGCAATTAGCACAGGGTCATTTATCCGTTAAACAGTTCAGACACAGGTTACCACAACCTTCAAAGAGACATACAGACAATAATACTATTTCACTCAAGTATCTGCCTAAATGTTAATATTCCTTTTCTGATCTTTGAATCAAAGCTACAGCCATCGACAAGACTTGTTTGCTGACATCACAAGACCTGAGCAAACATCTACTCTTCTCAGAGTTGCAGCCGTGTTAGTCTGTATTCGCAAAAAGAAAAGGAGTACCTGTGGCACCTTAGAGACTAACCAATTTATTTGAGCATAAGCTTTCATGGGCTACAGCTCACTTCATCGGATGCATTCAGTTGAAAATACAGTGGGGAGATTTATATACACAGAGAACATGAAACAGTGGGTGTTACCATAAACACTAAAGATAGTGATCAGGTAAGGTGAGCTATTACCAGCAGGAGAGAAAAAAAACCTTTTGTAGTGATAATCAAGGTGGGCCATTTCCAGCAGTTGACAAGAATGTGTGAGGAACAGGGGCGGGGAGGGGGAATAAACATGGGGAAATAGTTTTACTTTGTGTAATGACCCATCCACTCCCAGTCTTTATTCAAGCCTAATTTAATGGTGTCCAGCTTGCAAATTAATTCCAATTCAGCAATCTCTTTTGGGAGTCTATTTTTGAAATTTTTTTTGTTGAAGAATTGCCACTTTTAGGTCTGTAATCGAGTGACCAGAGAGATTGAAAAAAGAAAAGGAGTACTTGTGGCACCTTAGAGACTAACAGAGAGATTGAAGTGTTCTCCGACTGGTTTTTGAATGTGATAATTCTTGACGTCTGATTTGTGTCCATTTATTCTTTTACGTAGCGACTGTCCAGTCTGGCCAACGTACATGGCAGAGAGGCATTGCTGGCACATGATGGCATAGATCACATTGGTAGATGTGTAGGTGAATGAGCCTCTGATTGTGTGGCTGATGTGATTAGGCCCTGTGATGGTGTCCCCTGAACAGATATGTGGACACAGTTGGCAACAGGCTTTGTTGCAAGGATAGGTTCCTGGGTTAGTGGTTCTGTTGTGTGGTGTGTGGATGCTGGTGAGTATTTGCTTCAGGATGGGGGGCTGTCTGTAAGCAAGGACTGGCCTGTCTCCCAAGATCTGTGAGAGTGACGGGTCGTCCTTCAGGATAGGTTGTAGATCCTTGATGATGTGTTGGAGAGGTTTTAGTTGGGGGCTGAAGGTGATGGCTAGTGGCGTTCTGTTATTTTCTTTGTTGGGCCTGTCCTGTAGTAGGTGACTTCTGGGTACTCTTCTGGCTCTGTCAATCTGTTTCTTCACTTCAGCAGATGGGTATTGTAGTTGTAAGAACGCTTGATAGAGATCTTGTAGGTGTTTGTCTCTGTCTGAGGGGTTGGAGCAAATGCGGTTGTATTGTAGAGCTTGGCTGTAGACAATGGATTGTGTGGTGTGGTCTGGATGAAAGCTGGAGGCATGTAGGTAGGCATAGCAGTCAGTAGGTTTCCGGTATTCGGTGGTGTTTATGTGACCATTGTTTATTAGCACTGTAGTGTCCAGGAAGTGGATCTCTTGTGTGGACTGGTCCAGGTTTGAGGTTGATGGTGGGATGGAAATTGTTGAAATCATGATGGAATTCCTCAAGGGCTTCTTTTCCATGGGTCCATCATGTGCCAGCAATGCCCCTCTGCCATGTACATTGGCCAAACTGGACAGTCTCTACGTAAAAGAATAAATGGACACAAATTAGACGTCAAGAATTATAACATTCAAAAACCAGTCGGAGAACACTTCAATCTCTTTGGTCACTCGATTACAGACCTAAAAGTGGCAATTCTTCAACAAAAAAACTTCAAAAACAGACTCCAACGAGAAACTGCTGAATTGGAATTAATTTGCAAACTGGATACAATTAACTTAGGCTTGAATAGAGACTGGGAGTGGATGGGTCATTACACAAAGTAAAACTATTTATTTCCCCCCCTACTGTTCCTCACTGCTGGAAATGGCACACCTTGATTATCATTACAAAAGGTTTTCTTTCTCTCCTGCTGGTCATAGCTCACCTTACCTGAAAAAAGAAAAGGAGGACTTGTGGCACCTTAGAGACTAACCAATGTATTTGAGCACAAGCTTTCGTGAGCTACAGCTCACACCTTACCTGATCACTCTCCTTACAGTTTTCAGAGTAGCAGCCGTGTTAGTCTGTATCCGCAAAAAGAACAGGAGGACTTGTGGCACCTTAGAGACTAACCAATTTATTTGAGCATAAGCCTTCGTAAGCTACATAGCTCACGAAAGCTTATGCTCAAATAAATTTGTTAGTCTCATTACAATGTGTATGGTAACACCATAAATTTGTTAGTCTCTAAGGTGCTACAAGTACTCCTTTTCTATCTACTCTTCTGTCTCTAACAATGCAGGCTGCATTTCAAAGCTCTCTTCATTTCCATCTCTTCCTAACCAGTCTCTAAGGTTCGGCCATGGCTCATGTCAGTCTGTGAGTTAATTAACTCTTTCTGACCCTGTCACCTTTCAATGAGATATTATATTACACTCACAACGTCACACACCACTATCATTTTTAATTGGTGCAGCCCCCCTGTGTCTAAAGCTGCTTAGCTGGGAAAGCAGAACAAGACAGAACAGGCTACGACGGGGATGTAAAATGAGCCAGCTTGGCCCCTATTTACTCCTGTCCCAGGATCTGAGAACAAAAGAGCACTGAGTGAAAGCCAAAAGCTGTGGCGTCAAAGCTGACCGGAGGGAAACGTGGGTGCTTTGGCAGCATCAAGCTAGTCTGCGGGCCTTGCTGCACCAGGATTACATGGCTACTACCCCGGCTACCGCTGGGGATCACCAGCTGGGACCAGGAATGGCATCTCCCTGGAAGTGGATGGCACACAGGTGTCCTGTGAGGGCTCAGAACATCTCTGCAGCCCCCTGTGTTGACCAGTCTTGGGGCAGTAGCCCGGAGACGGTGACAGGGGAGGGGGAGCCTTGCTGCCCTGGTCTTTCAGGGGTGCCGCACACACCCCCTGGCTGCAAACCCTCTGTCTACACTGTTGCTGATAGAAGAGGGTGGGCCTGGCCAGCAGATTGCAGCTAAGGGGGTGAGACTTACTGAGGGACATTAAAACTTCTGCTGCTAGATTCTCCCATCCCTCCTCTTTGCCAGACGGCCCAGGAACCCACCCACACGACCAGCCCTTGCAGAGCAGCGCAGGGCCGCCACGGCCAGGTTCTGAACCCAGAGTCGCTGTCCCCGAGGCCCATGAGCGCCCCCTCCGCCGGCTGCCGGGCACCTCCCTTCCCGTCTCCACTTCAGGGGGCCGGCGGGGACAGAACAGGAACCGCGGGCGACCAGCTCTGCAGCCCGGGAGCAGAGAGGCGGCCCGCTCCCAGGGAGGTACCAGCCCCAGCCCCCCAGGAGAGCAGACAAGGAGGCACCGTCAGCCCCTCGTCCCGCCCCGCCCCGCTGGGGGGACCCGAGCCCGGGGCCCGCAGCGAGCCCGGGGGCCGCCCCCTCCGCTCGGCACCGACCACGTGGAACCGGCCCCGCTGCCGCCCCGGGGCGCGCCCGCCTGCGCGCAAGCCCCGCCCCTCACCGTGAAGGCTCCTCCCCTTTCTGCGGCTCTGGCCAATCCGCGTGCGGGGGCGCGAGGGCTGTGGGCGGGGCCTGTCCCGCGCAGAGCGGGTTTAAAGCTCGCGCGGCGGCCGCGAGCCCCGAGGCGGCGTCATGCGGTCCCTGCTGGCGGCCAAGCTGGGCGGCCTGCTCGGGCTGCTGCTCCTGCCGCTGCTCTGCGGGCTGCTCCCCGGGCGGCTGCGGGGCGCGGGTGCGTGCGGGGGCCTCCCAGTGTGGGGGGGGTAGAGGGAGGACGCCGGGACCCTGCCCCCCCGCGGGACGGGGTCTCAGTGTGGGGGGGTAGAGGGGGCGCGGACGCCCCCCGCGGGAGGGGTCCCCAGTGCGGGGGGGTAGAGGGAGGACGCCGGGACCCCCCCCGCGGGACGGGGTCTCCCAGTGGGGGGGGGGGGGAGGCCCGGGACCCTGCCCCCCCGCGGGACGGGGTCTCCCAGTGTGGGGGGGGTAGAGGGAGGACGCCGGGACCCTGCCCCCCCGCGGGACGCCCCAGTGGGGGGGGGGGGGGGGGGGGCGGGGGGGGGGGGTCTCCCAGTGTGGGGGGGGTGAGGGAGGACGCCGGGACCCTGCCCCCCCCGCGGGACGGGGTCTCCCAGTGCGGGGGGGGTAGAGGGAGGACGCCGGGACCCTGCCCCCCCCGCGGGACGGGGTCTCCCAGTGCGGGGGGGGGTAGAGGGAGGACGCCGGGACCCTGCCCCCCCGCGGGACGGGGTCTCCCAGTGCGGGGGGGGTAGAGGGAGGACGCCGGGACCCTGCCCCCCCCGCGGGACGGGGTCTCCCAGTGTGGGGGTGGGGGGAGGGAGGACGCTGGGACCCTGCCCCCCACCCGTGGGACGGGGTCTCCCAGTGGGGGGGGGGTGGGGGGTAGAGGGAGGACGCCGGGACCCTGCCCCCCCCGCGGGACGGGGTCTCCCGGGGGGGGCTGCCACGCTGACGGCTCCCTCTCCGGAGCAGGGATCCGCGGGCGGTGGCGCAGCTTTGTCGGCTGCGTGGCTGGAGGAATCTTCCTGGCCACCTGCCTGCTGGACATCGTCCCTGACTCTCTGTCTGACATGCGGGAGGAGCTGCGGAGCCAGCAGATCACGGTAGGTACCCCGCAGCACCTCCCCGAATAGCGCTGGGATGGGCCAGCTGGGCTTGCTGTTCCTCCCGGTTCCTAGCTGCAGCCCCACCAGCTGGCCCTGGGGTCATCTCCACCGTCTCGGCTGGGTTGGGGGTCCGGAGGCCTCTGCTCGGGCTAATGCTTTCTCTGCTTCCCCAGGTGGATTTTCCCTTTCCTGAATTCGTCCTGACTCTTGGCTTCCTGCTGGTTCTCATAATCGAGCACATGGTCCTGGACTGCAGTGAGCGGCGGTCAGGGGAGGCCACCCCCCTCCTCTCCTGTGGGGAGGCCACCCCTCAGCCAGCAGACACTGGTGAGTGGGTGGTGGAGACGGGTGCGCCTCACTTGCCTGCAGACTTCCCGGCCCACTCGTCCTTCCGCTCCTTTGTCCTCTTCCTATCTCTATCGGTGCACTCCCTGTTCGAGGGCCTGGCCGTGGGGCTGCAGGACACGGAGTCCAAGGTGCTGCAGATCTGCATCGCCATCGTGGCGCATAAGAGCGTGATTGCTGTCAGCCTCTCGCTCCTGCTGCTCCAGAGCCAGGTCCCCACCTGCTGGTTTGTGGCTCTGATTAGCACCTTTGCCCTCATGTCTCCCCTTGGCATCGCAGTGGGGATTGTGATGATGCAGAACCCGGGCCCCAGCAGCACCATGGCCCAGTGCCTGCTGGAAGGGATTGCTGCAGGGACCTTTGTCTATATCACCTTCCTTGAGATCCTGCCTCATGAACTGAACTCCCCGAAGTGCCGCCTGCCCAAAGTGCTCTCCATGCTGCTGGGCTTCTCAGTCATGGCTGCCTTGCGCTTCTTGGGCTGATGCCATTGGCCCTGCTTGGGCAGCTGCTGGCTGCGCTCACATGTACTGAGGCAGGCACTGGCCTGGGAAACCATCACCTGCAGGTTCAGCCCCTGCTACCATTGTCTCCTGGAGATGGACTGGGATGCCTCTTGGGCAGAGTTTTAGGGGTGGGAGGGTCTTGGGGGTGGGTTCAGGGCAGCCTGGTTTTTGCTCTGGAGTCAGAGTAGGGCCTGGCTTAATAGTTTAGCAGCATGCTGTTCATAAGTGTAATGCCTGCACTTGGGCCGGCAGGTGAGGTGAACGTGCAAATGCCTGATCATGATCACTCCAATGTTTCGTGAACACCCCCATCACCACAGCAGCCCCTCCATTTTATCCTTTTAAACGGCTATTGTACTGATTTTACAAGTGGAAATTGTATGGCTTATATTAAAGACTCTGCTGCACCCAGGAAAGCCAGCTTCCTCTACTCCCTGCTGGGGGAGGTCCAGGTTCTGGCAGGAGACAGGCTCCTGGGGTGTGCCCTTCTGTGTGGGGGGGTGCATCTCCATTGCATGGGAAAGGCAGAGAGCTAATCCTGTGAGATGCCCTGGAGTGTGGTGGCTGAGCAGGGCCAGAGTCAGCCCTGAAACCGCTGCCCCAGCCTGGCGCAGAGAGCGGAGCAAAGGAAGCACCGTGGAGCACCGCTACAGACTAGGGACCGAGTGGCTCGGCAGCAGTTCTGCAGAAAAGGACCTAGGGGTTACAGTGGACGAGAAGCTGGATATGAGTCAACAGTGTGCCCTTGTTGCCAAGAAGGCCAATGGCATTTTGGGATGTATAAGTAGGGGCATTGCCAGCAGATCGAGGGAGGCCTCATCTGGAGTACTGTGTCCAGTTTTGGGCCCCACACTACAAGAAGGATGTGGAAAAACTGGAAAGCGTCCAGCGGAGGGCAACAAAAATGATTAGGGGACTGGAACACATGAGTTATGAGGAGAGGCTGAGGGAACTGGGATTGTTTAGTCTGCAGAAGAGAAGAATGAGGGGGGGATTTGATAGCTGCTTTCAACTACCTGAAAGGGGGTTCCAAAGAGGATGGATCTAGACTGTTCTCAGTGGTAGCAGATGACAAAACAGGAGTAATGGTCTCAAGTTGCAGTGGGGGAGGTTTAGGTTGGATATTAGGAAAAACTTTTTCATTAGGAGAGTGGTGAAACACTGGAATGTGTTACCTAGGGAGGTGGTGGAATCTCCTTCCTTAGAAGTTTTTAAGGTCAGGCTTGACAAAGCCCTGGCTGGGATGATTTAATTGGGGATTGGCCCTGCTTTGAGCAAGGGGTTGGATTAGATACCTCCTGAGGTCCCTTCCAACCCTGATATTCTATGATTCTATGAATGCAGGGAGAAGGGGCCTGGCATGAGGGAGGGCAGGACAATACTCTGTTATGGCCCTGTGGGCAGTAGCCTGGGGCAGGGGATGGGAACAGCCCTCTCTCAGGCCAGGCTTGCTTGGTGCTGCAGTGCCCTCTGGTGAGCAATGGAGAGTGAAGTGCAAGCTCCTTGCAGGCTTAGGAGAAGGCAGGCTAGGCTGTGGACCTGGGTGGCAGGGGCTGTGCCCAGGACGGAGGACTGCTCTTCGGGCACAATGGCTCATCCCCCAGAGGAGGAGATGCTTCCCCCAGGTAACCACTGGGCAGTACCCAGGGTCACAACCCAGGTGCTGCAGGGAATGCGGTGCCCGGGTTGAGTTTGCTGAGACAAGCCTGGTCTCCAGCTGAAGAATCAATCTGTGTGTTCCTGTGAGCTGGGCCTTAACCCTGTTCTATGGATGGGGAGACTTCCCTGTGATCTTGCAGTCTGTCCTGGAGGAACTGGGAATGGAGCCCCACTTCCCACAGTAGCAGTGCTGACCTCTAGCCCATGCCTCTTTTTATTTCCTGATGCTAGCAGATGGGGGTGGCACCAGTAATGGAGGACCCCAAAGGAACTGCTGCCGTGGGCAAGAGCAGATGAGAATCCTGTAAACTGGATCTATAAAGAATCTAGGCTCTGCCATCCCTTCCCTATCTGCCACTGCTGGCCACTTCCTGCAGAGAGCTGAGGGGAAGCACTTCCCCACCCTCCCCAAAGCACTACTATGTAGCACAGGCTGGGCAAGGCCTGCAGCTTGGAGGATGGTTCTTGAGTTGCCCCAGACCCAGCATCCTTGTTGAAGGTCGGTGGCTCCAGCATGCCAACCATGGTGCAGTTAGCCTGCATCAACACCCCAAGGGAAAAGGGAGGCAGGCTTGTGGGGCACTTGTGCTGTGCAGTGCCGGGGGGAGCAGCCACAGCTAAGGGAAGGGAATGGAGGGCTGACCCCTGGGGAGGAAGGCTGAATCAGCTGTGTAATCAGCCCATGCTGCCAAGAATACAAAGGTCAGCTACTTCCTATTTAATCTAGCCCAGGTCTTAAACACTGCCTCTAAGGCCAGCTGCCTTGAGCCTGCAACAGGATTGGTGTGGGGATTGGAGAGGGAATGTAGAAATTCAGGGGAGGGAGGAGTTGGGGCAGCTGTTCCTGCTGGCAGTTCTGTAGTTCTCTCTGTAGCATAGTGGTGCTAACTTCTCCCCTGGTGGGAAGGGCTCTCCTGCTGCACAGAGTCCCTTGGACGTGACTCCTTACTTGTCCTCCATGTTTAATAAGGCCATAACTGTAGGAAAGAAAGGTAGAAGAGGTCTGGCTGTTTGCTGCTGGTAAAGTAATGGCACTTTCCCCCAACCATAGGGGCTGATCAGCTTGTAGCGAATTACATAAGTGGAGGAGACAGTCCTGTAGAATGGCAAGGGCCAACCACTCCTGTGCTCAGATCTCTGCAGCTAGCGGCTTTCTGCTGGTAGAGAGCTGCTCTGATCCTGGAGGGGATGAGCCACTCAGCCACTTGTGCAGCTGTGCTGAGCAGCAGGGGTGGAGAGGTGCTGATCTACCAGCATGACAGGAAGCTGAGGCTAGACAGCATCATTTGAGCATGTAACCACTGTGCCAAGTTGGGAGGACCCACACATCCTAGGGAGGTCAGAGAAATAAATGGAAGGGGTAGGCAATTCAATGCAGTTCAGACTAGGAGAATGCTGGGGTGCTGGTGCCAGGACCTGGGGCAAAGGCAGTGGGCTCTATGTGCACAGCAGACCCTGCCCTGAGGTGACTTCCCCCAGAACAGTCTCTTCCATTCTGGGCACCTAGTTATGAATGGGGGACAACTAGCCTTCCTGGTCAATAGCAATGAGCATGCCCTGCCCCAAGAGCAAATGGGGGAGGGAGCAGGCCTGGGGCATGGAAATTGCCTTGCAGGGAGCCCTGTTCCCTGGCTGGGGGGTTGTTTTGCTGCTGGTGGGAGAGGGGCTGAGAAGAATGAAATGCTGCAGGCAGAAAGAAGGCCAGGCAGTGTCCCAAAGGAGGAGAAGGAGCATGTCTTCCCCTGTGTGCTCAGGAACCTCCTCCCCCCCCCCCCGTGCTGTTTGCCTCCTACTCACCTGCATAATGCTGCAGCCTCTTGCGCTCTTCGAGGTTGTGCTGCAGCTGCTCCAGCAGTTCAAAGTAGCGGAAGAGGGAGTCGCTGGGCCACACCACCCATCCATCCTCATTGACCTCCACCAGGCTCTGCAGGTTCTGGTGGATGTATGTCTCCCAGTCCACTAGCAGAGGCAAAGGCTGCAGCTTCAGGACTGGCAAAGCCCCCCCCCCAATGATTTCCATGCACCTCCTGCATGGTGGTATGAGATTCCTGCCCTGCTGTGAGGGGACAGAAAGGGCCCTTCTGTTTCTAATGCCCCCTCCCCTTGCACATGGAACAGGGGCTCCTGCTGCTGGGGGAAGGAGAGTGGCTCGCTGTGGTCCTCCCTTCTGCTGCTCTCTGCCCCTGCACCCAAGGCCTTGGGTTTGGTGCTCCCAGGAAGGGGTATCCCTTGGACTGCAGTCTCCCCAGCACAACGAAATGCAGAGCAGGAGCCGAGTTAGCTCAGCATAGCTCTGCTCAGGCTCCTGCAGCTAGGTGGACACTCCCCCTGCCCTATGTGGGGCATGTGCACTTACAGTCCTTCACGCTCTGCTTCGCTACCACCATGTACTCTGGCTGCTGCGCACTAGGGGCTGCCTCTGCTCCTGGGCAAACCTCCAAGCCTGAGACCTGCTGAAGAGAGAGGAACCCAACATAGCGCTGGAGAGAAACACTGCTGGTTCTAAACCCTGCCATGGATGGTGATCTAGGTCAGCCACAGCATGGCCTGGAATAAAGGGCCTGGCAGGCAAGCTGTCAGAGTCCAGCTAGGGTGGGCATGGGTGCAGGGGCGGAGCCCTGTATTGTAGGCAGGTGCCTGTGCCCAGGGCTGAATTCTGAGTTAAGGCCAAACCCAGCAGTCCTTGCCCTTCTGAGGACAGGGTGCTGTGGTGAATGCAGTGGGGGCTGTACCCACTGCTCTGGGGGACAGGTTCCTCAGGTGCTTACCCATCATTGCCATCCCTTAATGCTTATGGATACCCATGCTCACCAAGGGCATCTGTGGGCTGTCTGCTGAGATGGGCTGGCTGTGTCTCCTACATAGTCAAAAAGTAGATATTAATAAGGGTCCCAACCCAAGGAGTGAGAGAACTCACATGGGGCTGCCCTGGGAGAGCACGGGCTGTGCAGTTGCTCCCAGCAGGGAGCGGAAGGGTGCCTGGCATGGATGTTGGCTGTGGCGGGAGATCCCTATCCCTGCCCCCCAGCAGGACGGATGTAAGCCATGGGGCAGTGGCCTCGGTTGTGAGGGGAGCTCAGCACTTAGAGTCTAAGTTTTGCAGACCTCAGTTGGAAGCAGCAGCAGAGGAGGAGAGAGAGCTGGGTGTGTTAGTCATCCTGTGATCAAGCATCAGCTACCAGTGATGCACTGCAAAAAACGCAAATCTGCTCCTAGCAGGCAAGATGTCTCCAGCAGAGAGAGAAGTATTCATGCCAGTGTGTGAGGCACTGTGTACAGTTCTGGTCACCCATGGGCAAGAAAAGTGAATTCAGACTGGAACAGATGCAGAGAAGAGCTACTAGGGGAATGGAGGTCCTGCCTTATGAGAAGTGACTGGAAGAGCTGGTCTTGTTTAGCCTGGCACAATGAAGGCAGAGAGGGGCTATGACTACTAGCTATAAATACATCAGGGAGATAAGCACCAGGGAGGGTGAAGGGCTATTGACGCTAAAGGACAATGTTGGCACAAGAACAAATTCAGGCTGGAAATTAGAAGGTGGTCTCTAACTCATCAGAGGGAACAAAGGATGCGGAGGGGAAAGTGGGGGAATATGGACTGGGCTTTTCACTTAGGAACTAAGGAAGGCAGTCAGGAAGAGACCAAGCATGAACTGGGCTTCACAGCAGTGGGGCTGGTGAAGTGCTCTAGGCTGACCAGCATGGACCTTCATTTCTCTGTGCTGCCCGAAGGCCTTCCTAGGCTGTGTCCAGGTGACTATAAACCTGTTTTCACAGCATGTGTCTGCAGCCATTGGGCGAGGTGCTTAGTCCCTGGAGAGTGGGCAAGTCTCTGCCAGGCTGTTGCAGTTGGATTTGCTGTGAAGCAGGAGGGATGGAGCCCCAGAGGTTCAGTCTCTGGAGGTGGTGAGAGCATGTGGCTGACCCTGAAAGCAGAGTGAAACCCCCAGGGGGTCTGGCTCACCAAAGGAGCCCCTCCAAGAGACTGTTCCAAAGCTGGGGGCATAGCACCAATCTGGTGGATCTGTGACAAGGGGCTTTTGCCTTCGTCTGCAGCGTGAGAGTGTGGGTCACTTGCCCAGATTATCTGGGTATATCTCTGACTGTAACCCCCTGGTATTCACACCCTACATGCTATTGTAATATCTCGCAAGCCACATTTTGTACGCTATCCTTTGAGAACTACTAACTTACATCACAAGAATGCTATTGATCAGTATGTACATGGTGTGGATTGAGAGTTATGGATATGTGCTGCAATTATGACTAAACTGGGCATGCTGGGGGAGTCTGCCCTAAACAGAGGAATGTGTCAGCCTGGTCTTCAGGCAAGGAGAATGAAGGTCCATTTTTACACATTAGGTAGACAAAGCTATTAAGCTACCCCCTGGAGGAAGAAAGAGCATGGCGCTTCCTTCACCACCAGACTCCCTGTTGCCTTACTCAGCTTGAATGAACGTCACTTTTAGGGGTGACCTCAGAAAAGTCCATTGCAAAGATTTACTGGTCTATAAAGAGCCTGAATGAACAGCCATGGAATCAGCTGGTTGAATGCAGTATCACTGTATTACAAAAGTGTCTCAAGTGAGGGCTTTTCTGGAAGCTGATGCCACACTGGTGAGTAATATCATTGAGAGATGTCTGTATTAACCCTGTATGAGGAATCTGGATACTTAATGATATTGTGCTTTAAGTCTGTGCTCAACCAGGGAGAAAAAGGGTCCCTCCCAGACCAAGGGAAGGCACCTGTCTCAAAACAATGGCAGCCCCATTTACATGCAGAGGGTGGGAAGCCCACAGGAAGGGGGAAGTAGCGTGAGACCATCTGCCTCTTGAAACAAAGACTTTGACCTTCAGGAGCTATAAGCACGGACAGATGCCATCTTTGGCATGTGTCACTGGACAGACTCAGGGGAACAGAACTTGTGCAAGCTTAGAAAGACAGGCCCTTCAGCCAAACAGGGGTTGTAGTCTCTGGGAACTGAGGTTGTGTCTACACTACACAGCTTTTAGCAACATAGCTGTCATTACAGTTGTGTTGCTAAAAGTCGTGCAGTGTAGCTGCTGTTTGTCGGCTCTCCTGCTGACAAACTTCCACCCCCAACAAGCAGCGTTTCTGTTGTTGGCAGGAGCGCTCCCCTGCCTAAAACGTGCTGTTCTCACTGGCGCTTGTCATGCCAAAATTTGTCTTTCAGGCAGGGGGAGAGTTAACACCTCTGAAAGACAAAAGTTTTATCGGTCAATTGCCAGTGTAGACATAGCCTAAGTGTAGATGATAAACCTTCTTAGGCAAAGATCTTTTACCTAGGAAGACAAGGAAAACCAGCACCTGGTACTTCTGTGGAAGGTCCTGACAGGGAAAGCCAGCCATGGTGGCAAAGATGAATGACTGGTCAGAGACAACAGCTTGAACAAAGCCTGCAGCTTGCTAGATTAAGTCTGAGACTTTTAGATGTGTGTTGTAACCCTTCTAACTTTATTCCTATTTGTTGGCATCATTGATCCTAGGACCTATTGTTAATAGATTTTTATTTTATTTTTACTGTAAACCAACTCAATGCTGTGCATGTAGCAGAGTGTGTATTTATCCCAGTAAATGTGCTGTGATGCTTTTTTGTGTCTTGAGGAACAAACAAGCCATATTATGTCTCTGACCTGTCCAGGTGAGCACTGGACATTACAGAGCACATGGATGTGGGAAGATTTAGGAGTGGGTGTGTGTTGGCATCACTCTGCAAGTAGCACCCGAGGCTGGTAGAGAGCGGGGACTCTGACTGGAGTGTGGCTGGCAGGATGCTGGGGTCAGACCTGCTGGACTAGGGCTATGAAGCACACAGACACTCAGGATGGGACCTGCCTGCTTGTTGCTGACTGTGAACGTGCTGGGCAGGGAGTTAAAGTAGCAAAGAATTTGAGACACCAGAGTTATAGGGCAGGTAGCGACTCAATCCCCTGTTGGTCTGGATTGCACCCTCAACCCCATAACCACCTCACATAATCACCTGCCACCACTGCAGGGGCCTTGGGCACTGGTGCCCATCAGTCTCTGCTGGGGTACAGGACAGCTGCATCTCCTGGGGGCTGTCATACTTTGGTGTGGTGGTAGTGGCTGGGGTGGGGCAGTGGCCTGGGCTGCAGACTAGAAGGTGTGATAATCCCCAGACCAGCCCGAGGTGCGGTGGGTGCTGTACTCACTCACCTCTCTATAATCTGTGTTTTAAATAAATCTGCTTTCTTCTGGGCCTCTATCTGCTTCACCTCTTCAGCCAGGTCACTCCGGATCATCTGGAAATTAGTCACTGACAAACCCAGAGCCCCCATTAAGCCCTGGGGGTCCTGAGGTTCTTAGAAGGGGCAGTGGGGGGGTGAAGGCTTCCCTACAGACTGTTACCCTTCTGTGTGCCACTGCTGCCCAGAACCCGCTAGACTTTATACCTGGTGAGCTGGGATCTAGGGCAGCAGCCAGAAGGTTATTTTTCAAAACAGGGTTTATTTCTGCTTGTCTTTTACCATAGGAACATCAAATACTACCTTCTTTTTGCTCACGGTCTCCTTGAAGTACCAGAGAGCTGAACGGGGATTCCTTCAGCCCTAAACCAAAGGGCTGGGGTGTTGAACCTTTGGCACCAGTCCTCTTGGTTTGTCAGATGTTTCAGTTAAACAGGTGTGACCAAGTCACAATCCCCACCCACCAGTTACTCTGCTTTCCCATGCGTAGTCCCTGCCCTGCTGTGATTCTAGGAGTTTTCTAGTTGTCCAGAGAGTCTGCAAGGACAGGGGCAAGACCTGTCCTGAGTTTATAAGGTGGAAGCCTTCCACACTAGCCTGAAGCCGGTACCACCAGAAGCTGAGAAGGGCCCAAACTTTGCTTTGCAGGGGAACTAGATGTAGCAATAGGGAGCCACTGTGGGCAGAGGGCTTTGCATGGGGACTGTCAGAGCCCCACCACGTGCCAGCATGGGAGGCTGTAGGGTTCCTGCGGCCTGGGCAGTGTGTGGGGCCCAGGCACTTACCCATAATTGCCACAAAGATGTTCCTGAACATGAAGGATCCAATCAGCAGCCAGAGGATGATATAGAGGCTGCTGATGACCTTGTTCATCTCAGGTATCTTCCAGGTGTCCTGGAGCAGGGCATACCAGTGATCCATGGTGAAGAGGATGAACAGTGTCACCAAGGTGTTGGGGATATCCCTGCGGGCAGAGAACAGCTTCAGGGCATGCTGCATTGACCTTGAGGCCTATTGAGCCTGTGGGGTCCAAGTTGGCTCAGGGCCACCCGCTGCTTTGCTGGTGATCTCTCGGCTGAGTCTAAGTGCAGGGATGCTGCAGAGGAGGGGGCTGACATCAGTTAGTTGTGGCCCTTATGCTGGGAAGGTGACAGCATGACACTCAGGTAAGCAGTTTGCTTGGCCCCAGCATTCTGCCATGCACAACGGGCAGGCCCCCGTCAGAGGGAGGTCTAGACTAACATGGTCCAACTCAGACACTGGCCAGGGCTTGTGAGCTGCAGCCTTGTATCACTGCTACATGGCACTACGACTGTCCTCAGCATCTCCAAGAGCATCCAGCAGTTCCACAGTTAGACCACATACATACATCAAAGAGAAGGCACTGGAGTCTGAGGGAGGAGGGGGGTGTCATCAAGCACAAAGCCCAGCTTTTGGCAGCTGCTAGGCCTTGGGGGTGTCCCCCTAGAGCCCAGCACCCATCAGTGTCAAGCTGTAAAGTGTCAATGTATTCCCCAGCCCAGGGCCACCTGCATCCCCACTGCTCCACTCCTTCCAGCTGGCTCTGCAGCCCCATGTCCTCCCAGAGGTTGTGAGATCACCCAGCTGAGGAACAGGAGTAGAAAGGTGAAAGAGTAGAACAGTGCCCCCCCCCCCCCCATGACCAGAGGGACGAGGGTGTCTTGCTGCTGCGTGATGGGGCATTACACTAACATAAGCAAGGAGATGTACCTGAAATACATGCTGAACTCCAGGTCGGTGCGGTCTGACCGACTGTAGCTCTCAAAGAAGAAGATGCCAGATACAGCAAACACATAGAAGAAAACCAGCAAGAGCAGCAGGATGAAGGTCATAGCCTGGGCAGGGGAGAAGCAGAGAGGAGCCAGGGCTGAGGGGAGCTTGGGGGCTGATGCTGCCCAGGGAGTTTACAGTCTAGATTAGACATAGAACAACAAGGATGCTGCTCAGCAACAGGGGTGGGCTAGGCCAAGGCCTGCAGCAGCGAGGAGCAAAACAGGGCAGGTACAGCCAAGGGCTTGTGGCAGGGGGGACGGGACTGTTAAAAATTAACATCAGTATGTGAGCATTAGGGGCTGGGGTTCCGTAAATGGGGGCAAGGGGCAGGTGGCAGTGCTGGGAGGCCAGTGCTATGTACCCAGGGCAAGGCTGAGTGCTGGGAGACTAACCAACAGGAAGGAGTTTGGCATACATGCAGCTCCGCCCCCCAGCTCTGGCACCTGTCTCAGCATGCCCCCACCTCGCCGGTTTTGTACCTTCAAGGTCTTTGCTATTGCCAGGATGATCACCCGAACTTGCCGGAATTTGGAGAAGAGCTTTAAGGTGCGGAGGATGCGGAAGGCCCTGATGAAACTCATGGCAGCTATCTTGTTGGTTACGCCAACGATGTCCAGGAACTCGGGGATCACGGACTATGAGCCAAGGGAACAGAGCAGCAAGATGACCATGTTCAGGTTATGCTGCCCTGCAGAGTCAGGCCAAGCCACACCCCACCTGCCCCCCACACAGCCACTTAACAGGGCATCAACCCACTACCACCCCTCTGCATTGCAGCCTTCTTCCCTCTAGGTTTGGTAAGCATGAGTCAGTGCCCACAGAATCATGGCTTTAAAAATAATAAATTCTGGGTCTTGTCTTTGCTTTCTAAGTTTTGAGCCTTTAGGGGTCACATTTTCCAGCTTTTTCTTCCTAACCAGAAACTTCCCTTTTACATTTTTTTGCCTATAATGAAAGTTGAGCTTCACAATCACATGACTCCAGGAGCTGGGGCCAGAAGAGACACCACATAGCCCAAAGTGGTGATGCTGGAACTTGGTGATGGACTGGAACTCCCTAGAGGGCAGATGTAAGCATCACAAAACCACTGGTAGTTCTGAAGCATTTGGGCACCACAATACATGACCAATAATGAGCCTGAGTAGCCAAAGAGGAGCAGTCTCTGTCCTGCTTTGGGACCCCTTGAGAAAGTCCCCTGAACTGTGAGTCCCACCAGAACTTTCTGGGCACAAGGCTACCCAAGGTGATGAAGCAACAGGGAGCTAGTCTTGTGGTCCATGCATTGCCCTTTGCTTCCCCTCCCCTGTAGACTCCCCCGTGTCTCTCACCACTATGGTAATGCTGAAGTCGAAGACATTCCAGCTGCTTTTCCAGAAGCCTCTGAAACTAACAATCCAATTCAGCAAAATCTCCATGATAAAAATGAGGAGGATGACCCAGACGGTCACCTCTAAGGCGAGCTTCAGGTTCACCAGGCTGACATCCATATTGTCCATCACCTCTGGGAAGCACAAGAGACAGTTGCTGAAGCCTGGCTCCAGCAAAGTGTTGACTGGGGAAGGGAAATAGCATGAAGAGGGGGATGGACAGAAACTCCTTGTGTATCACTGACTATTCAACATGCCCAGCCCCAGCTGAGGATCGTGCCATGCTCAGAGGCAAAGCTGGACCTGGAGTCAGAGGGCTGCAGGGGAGGGCACCAGTTGAGAAGCACTGAGTAACTGGTCTCTGGGAACTCACAGGCATTTGCTGGCTGTGCCCTATGGGGCAGACTGTTCAGGACACACATTGCTGGTACATACACTCCTAAGGTGCTAGTGGAGGTGGTCCCCTGCTTGTTAATGTTTAGCATAGTCAAGTCCTTCTCCTCTGGCCCTGGAAGCGGCTCCTCGCTAGTGGAGACTGGAGATGTTAGGACTCTTGGGGGAGGTGGGCACAGGAGAGGCCTTAGCAACTCCCTCCCCAACATCCTGTCTCAGTCATCCCAAGCTTGGATTGTGCCTCCTTGGAGCAGGGACTTCAATCTCTACCAGGTACCAGAGACTCTGTAACAAGTGGAGCACTGTAGAAGGACATAGCCCTAGTGAAAAGAACAGTGGGGGCTGAGTGCCTAAGCCCGGTGGGAGATAGGGATGTGGAGGGGAGACAGCACCAGCCAGGAGTGGAAGAGCTGGGAGAGGTGAGATTTTGAGCAGGGGAATGAGCCTGAGGAAGGAATTGGTGTCCAGTAATGAGGGCTGAATTGCCTAGAGACTGGTGATGGGCTCTGGGCTCTCCACCTTTATGTCACTGACTCTAGGTCAGGGCAGCGGTGATGGAGAGCCGTCACCATCTGATGACTTGTTGGTGGCTTAGCTGAAATTAGACGGTGCTCTGAATTCAATACGTCATGGACAGGTGCCTACACCACAAAACCACCATAACTTGGTTCTCATTGGCAGCCCCTTGCTCCAATTATGGACTGCCCCAGCATCCCTGTCTTGCCTCTGGAGGCAGGCTGCAGGGGCCTGAGCCCACAAACACTATCTATGCTTGGGCACAGAGGGGTTCTGCCCCCAAGGCTGCCAGGCTGGCACTACTTTCACACGCATAGAGGCCCCGTCTCCCTCTCACCGCTCTTGATCATAAGAACCAGCATGTTCAGGAAGATGAGAAAGATGATGAAGCTTTTGAAGATGGTACCTGGGGTTTCTCGCTGAGAAATATGCAGGAAACTCTATGTTATTCTGTCAGACTCTACAGGGGCTGGGGCACCTACACTTGAGAACTCATAAGACAATGGGTAGTATCCAGAGCAGCTCTAATGCTGAAGTAACAGAGCTCCACACACAACCCCCAAAGGAGTACAGCATCGCATCAAGCCCAAATACCAGCACAAGCATCCTAACACACCCTCAACAATGTGCCTCAGCCACCGAACCGGTCGACAGGAGGTCATGAGCCGTTTACCCGTGTCAGAGGAAAGGCATGTGCAGAAACCACCATCCACCTGGAGCTTGGAGCCTCGAAGCGCCCATTTCCTGGCCTGCACCTCTGTTCCTTCTCTACCCTGACCACCCTCCTCATGGCACTTGCCCCACTCCTCATTAGGCAACAATTCAGATTTCATCCGCTAAATTGGACCTTATGTACAGGTGGGAAGCACTGACAACTAGAACCACAGAATACAGAGATGGAAAAATTTATCCAGCCCCCTGCTGGTCAACTCTCCGCTTTGTCCAGTCCCAAGCTACTGGGATTCCATCACTTCTCTTGCAGCTGATTTTGTCTATCACACTTAGGGACTATTTTTTCCTTCTCTTCATACCAGACTCCCTTACTCGCCCGATGGCAGCATCAGTCCTGATTTGTCAAAGGATACTGTTCAGGACCCAGGATGCCCACATGGTCAGGGGAGGCCAGCGGCTGCAGCGCACTTGGATGCGGTTACGTAGGCGTTTCTCTGGGGTGATGATGGTGTTCCTGACTGGGGTGATGTTGAAACGAACCAGCTGGTTATGGTCTGTGAGCATCAGCTTCCTCTGCTTCTTGGGGTCTGTAGGGAACAGTGACACAGAACTCCTCCCAGGGGGGTCCTGGAGGACATGCAGGGAGGAAGAGGAGCCAGAGAGTCCAGCACAGCTAGACCTGTTCCTAGCAGGAGAGCGTTTCAGTCAGTAAGGAGGGGGGCTGAAAATGCCTGTCCCCTGCCTGCACTGCTGAGTGATACCCCTGGGGGAGCTGCATGGGTGCAGAAAAACACACATTTTGGCCCAGATCTTCAAACGTATGTAGGCTTCTAACGTCCATCCATGTCCATTCATTTTGAGGATCTAGGCCTTTCCTGCCTCAGTTGTGGAGAGTAAATACAGGTAGGAGAGCAGCTTAGACAACTCACCCAAAGCCCAGTATAGAGCCACAGCCCAGCTGCAGCCCCAGCCACGTCACATAGCCATTTGCAGCTAGGATGTGGAGGGAAGCAAATCAGGCTGGCACCTCCAGGAACCCTACCTGTGAAGCCCACACCTCCTCCGGAGTCAGTGCTAGGTTAATGTCAGCAATCCTGCTCCTGGGGAGAGAAACTCCCGTATGTTCAGATTCTGCAGTGTGGGCACTGTGTCAAACCCTAGGAGAAAGATGGGCTCACCACCCTCAGTGCCCAGAGCTCTCTCCAGTGACCTCAGCTTACCCAGTCAGCATGGAGAAATTTGGCAGGCCTGCCCAGCAGAGCGAGAAGCATAGGGCATGTTGCTGGGGGGTGGGGGTCCCTGCACGTGGTTTGTGGGCAAAGAGAGGCACTCAAGGTGAGATACTGAGAGGTATCTGAGCTCCTCATTCATTCCACCCTCTCACAGGACCCCAGCTGTTGGCATAGTGAGAGTGGCTTGTTACCAAGGAAATCCTTGATATTGTGCCGTGGGATGGCATGGCTCAGTCCCTGAAGGTGGTCGATCAAGTAGAAGGTGTAGATCAGCTTGGAGCGAATGGCATCAGCTCGGGGAAGCAGCGTAAATGGGGAGCTGACTTTGGTTTGGGAAGCACTCTCTGGGCTCTGAAAAGAGAGAGAGAAAGCAGCAGCGTGAAGTCAGTCTGAAATGGAGACCCCCACAAAGAGAGTTGTTACCTGAGGATTCATGAGTCCAGCTTGGCTTCTCCTTGTTCCCTGCATGGCTCAGAAGGTTCTTTGCTGTATCATCACAGAACTCTGCAGTGACCTCACAGTCTGGACGAAAGGAAGGGGACACAGCTGGCAGGTGCTCAGTGGAGCATGAGCAGCTTGGCAGAAGTTGATTTCTTTTTTAACAGGTTTGATAGGTGGGATCAATATTTATTTTTAAGGTTTTTTTTTTTTTTTACTTTAATCTATTTAAAGTTTCACAGTTGTGCGAAGTCGAGGGGATCAGAAAATTGTTATTTGATGACAGTAGCCCCCGATATTCGAAAAATTAAAATGTTATAACGATCAAAGCACAAATTGTCAGCATCATATATCAGAACATACAGAGTAAATATCCTTCAAGCTGACTCTGAAGTTCCCAAGCAGCATTTGTCTTACTTCGCCTATCTGTAAATTTCTGTTATCACCACTGGAAATATTTGTTTGCCGGTTGTCAGTGTGCGGTGACATCGATGTTTGCCAACATTTACTGATAACAAAAATCAAATCCTTCCAAGCCTGAGCATGTGCTCCTGAAATCAGAGGCAGCCTGGCCATCTAAAAAGCTTCTGCTGTGCCTTGGCAGTCTTCAGCGAAAGCTGCACTCTAAGGGATGGGGGAAAATGTCCCGTGGGCAAAGGTTCCAAGCAGAGTTCTTTCTATTCCTCTGTCTGACTCGGGTCCTGGACTCTGTTAACGTCTTTTACATTCCCAGGGGAGGGAGGGGGAGGCGCCGATTGCCAGTGGGTGGGAGGCCCTGGGAGAGCGGGAGCAGGGGAACTGATGGGGGCTGCTGACATATTACTGTGGCTCTTCGGCAATGTATATTGGTAAATTCTGACTCCTTCCCAGACTCAGGTTGGCTACCCGTCCTAGGCCATGGGCTGAGCCGGGTCCCTAGAAGCAGATGCTTGGGCTAGATGTTTATTGTTGATTTGTTTGTTAATGAAGTCACAGACCAGGCAGGGTGAGTTTTGACCCTACTCAGCTTGTGTGGACTAGGCCTTTCCTCATCCTGCACAAAGAGCTTTTTCATGGACCCAGGTGCTACTGTTGCGTAGGGAAGGTGCAGGACAGTGCAGTGGAAAGCATCCTAGAAGGTCTCAGATAAAGAAGCAACCTTCAGTTTGAAAGTGTTTGACGAACCACTGGCCAGGTACATGCTCCAGCATCTCAGGTTATGCTTGAACTACCAATTGTGGCTCTCTGGGACTCAAGCCTGCACCTAGAAGTGCTGTAAGTGCTGCTGGCGAATCATGAGGGCTGCTTTTCCCTTTGAAAAAAGAAAAGGAGGACTTGTGGCACCTTAGAGACTAACCAATTTATTTGAGCATGAGCTTTCGTGAGCTACAGCTCACTTCATCGGATGCATTTCCACGGTATGCATCCGATGAAGTGAGCTGTAGCCCACAAAAGCTCATGCTCAAATAAATTGGTTAGTCTCTAAGGTGCCACAAGTACTCCTTTTCTTTTTGCGAATACAGACTAACACAGCTGCTACTCTGAAACTTTTCCCTTTGAGTCACTCCTGAGCGGGAAGGGAGCTGTGAAGGAACTGCCATGCAGCTGCTTCAAAAAAAAAACCAAGTTGTCATGGTTACAGGGTCAGTTGTACCTCTGTCCCTTTTCGGATCTTGGCGCACCCGTTAAGTCCTCCTGCCTTTACCTCTCCTCAGAACGCCCTGTCACGGATCCCCGGGATCAGTGCTATGGCCCCAGCTTTGGAACGGTGTCTGGGAGGACCCCTTCAGTGAGCCAGACCCCCGAAGCTCTCACTCTTCCTCTAGGGTAAGCCACGCAGCATCACCACCTCCTTAGGCTGCATCTCTGGCCCTTCAGCCACTCTGCTTCCCACCATGAGCACCTGTCAGCAAGTCCCACAAAGGCAGACCCCTGAGGGAGACTTGTACTATCTTAGAGAGCAATGCAGCCCCACCAGCATCTGCAGGGGCACTCACACAGTGCTAAGAAACAGTCCGGTTTATTATCAATTGGAACACAACATAGAAAGGCCTTGGTTAGCACAGAGAGAAGAAAGTTACAGCATGGTCCATTATGGTTAGACCAGAGCCCCAGCCAAGCAGTGTGACCCCCTTGGCTCCAGCTCTGTCCCTCTCTCCTCTTTGTTCAAGTTCCTGGTGCCAGTCCCACCTGGCCTCTCCTCAGTCCTTTGTTCCCTGGCTGGTCAAACACAGGTAGCAAATGTCCCAGAGATTGGGTTTGCCATTGTGTTTACAGACTCTCCATTGACCTGGGTCCCAAACTCGAGACAGCTAGTCATCCATCATGCCTGCATCTCTGGGCCTCACTAGAGAAAACAGCTCTTTTCCACCCCAAAGTGACAATGCAGCATATAGGGGAAACTGAGGCACACACAGTATTTATACAAAATATTAAAGTTCCCCACTTCATCACACCCTCACTGTTTGACAGGATACTGAAGGCCAGGGCCAAGTCTATTAATTGTGCTTGCCTAAGAGGTCTGACTGGGTTCAGCAGCTGCCATTCTTCCCATTAAGAATCTGCAACGAGTGGTGAATGTAATGACTAGACAGCCTTCTTAAAACCCAAAGGATTGTTTCCTTTGCAGTAGGAACAATGCACAAAAGGATTAAAAACAGTCTATCTGTCTTACCTAATGCACACCAGCCCTGGCAGTAACCAGGCAGACCTCCCTTCTTCTTCTTCCCAGTGGGTGCTTGCATCTTAGTCTGGTTCCTCTAAATCAGTGGTTCTCAACCAGTGATATGCAGAGATCTTCCACAGGGTACATCAACTCATCTAGATATTTGCCTAGTTTTACAACATGCTATATAAAAAGCACTAGTAAAATCAATACAAACTAAAATTTCATCCAGACAATGAGTTGTTTATACTGCTCTATACACTGAAATGTAAGTACAATATTTATATTCCAAATAATTTATGTTATAATTATGTGGTAAAAATGAGAAAGTCAGCAATTTTTCAGTAATAGTGTGCTATGACACTTTTGTATTTTATGTCTGATTTTGTAAGCAAGTAGTTTTTAAGTGAAATGAAACTTGGGGTACACAAGACAAATCAGACTCCTGAAAGGGGTACAGTAGTCTGGAAAGATTGAGAGCCACTGCTCGAAACAACTTCCCCTTTCAATGTTCATCTTTAAACTACTGTTGGCCTTTTGAGCTTGCTAGTTCCTATACTTTGGCCATCCTGGTCAAAACCAGTTTCATAACTTGGCTGGAACAAGGAGGTGGAATCTTCTGATCTTACTAGTCTGGACAGTCTTTCTTAACAACTCTGAAGTGTTTACCAAGAGGTGGAGCTTATCTTGACCATTTGTTTCCCTTCCTCTTTGTTTTTCCTGACAGCCCTCTATTAAACTAAACAAACATATTCATGCAGTACATATTCCACTAACCATATCATAATGCGACTATACAAATCCATGGTATGCCCACACTTTGAATACTGCATGCAGATCTGGTCACCCCATCTCAAAAAAGATCTATTGGAATTAGAAAAGGTACAGAAAAGGGCAACAAAAATGATTAAGGGTATGGAATGGCTTTTATATTAGGAGAGATTAAAAAGACTGAGGCTTTTCAGCTTGAAAAAGAGATGATTAAGTGGCGATATGATAGAGGTCTATAAAATCATGACTTGTGTGGAGAAAGTGAATAAGGAAGTGTTATTTACCCCTGCACGTAACATACAAATCAGGGGTCACCCAACGAAATTAACAGGCAGCAGGTTTAAAACAAACAAAAGGAAGTACTTCTTCACACAATGCGCAGTCAACCTGTGGAACTCATTGCCAGGGGATGTTATGAAGGCCAAAACTATAATGGGGTTCATAAAAGAACTATGGAGGATCGGGTTTCAGAGTAACAGCCGTGTTAGTCTGTATTTGCAAAAAGAAAAGGAGTACTTGTGGCACTTTAGAGACTAACCAATTTATTTGAGCATGAGCTTTCGTGAGCTACAGCTCACTTCGTTGGATGCATACTGTGGAAAGTGTAGAAGATCTTTTTATACACACAGGTTTCAGAGGAACAGCCGTGTTAGTCTGTATTCGCAAAAAGAAAAGGAGTACTTGTGGCACCTTAGAGACTAACCAATTTATTTGAGCATGAGCTTTCGTGAGCCACAGCTCACTTCATCAGCTGTGGCTCACGAAAGCTCATGCTCAAATAAATTGGTTAGTCTCTAAGGTGCCACAAGTACTCCTTTTCTTTATACACACAAAGCATGAAAAAATACCTCCCCCCACCCCACTCTCCTGCTAGTAATAGCTTATCTAAAGCGATCACTCTCCTTACAATGCGTATGATAATCAAGTTGGGCCATTTCCAGCACAAATCCAGGTTTTCTCCCGCTGGAAATGGCCATACGCATTGTATTATCATACACATTATAAGGAGAGTGATCACTTTAGATAAGCTATTACCAGCAGGAGAGTGGGGTGGGGGGAGGTATTTTTTCATGCTTTGTGTGTATAAAAAGATCTTCTACACTTTCCACAGTATGCATCCGACGAAGCGAGCTGTAGCTCAGGAAAGCTTCTGCTCAAATAAATTGGTTAGTCTCTCAGGTGCCACAAGTCCTCCTTTCCTTTATGGAGGATCGGTTCATCAATGGCTATTAGTCAACATGGCCAGGGATGCAACCCCATGCTCCGACTCTTCCTAGCCTCTCTGAGAAGTTGGAAGTGGACAAGAGGGACTGGCCCGTTGCATGCTCTGTTCATTCCCTCTGAAGCAAGTGGCATTGGCTACCGCTGGGAGGCAGGATGCTGGGGTAGACGGACCATGGGGCTGACCCCTATAGCTGTGTTCTTCACCAGACTGTATGCAACCTCACCGCAGCCAGGCGGTCCCAGGATCTGAGAGTGACAGGCTGGGTGAGGGAATCTCTTGTATGGGGCCAGCTCCTGCTGGGGAGGGAGACAAACTCGAGCCCCCCAGAGCCCTTCCTCAGCCCCAGCGCTCCCGGAACAGCGTGACGCCGGGGCCCTGGCCGATGTTCTCGCCCCCGCCTGGTCTCCCCTCCGCCGCCGCCGCCGCCCCACGGTCCCGCTGAAGCGCCCGCGTAGCGACGGGAACCGCGGGCGCGTCTCGCCCCGCTTCGGGGCGCGGGTTACTACGGCCTCGGGCCAGGGCCAGCGGCGGGGCCCCCTCGCCCAGGACACGTCCCTCCGCCTGAGGCCGAGTCGGGCTCGCCCGGGCTCGCCCCACAGGCGAGCTACGAGCAGGGGCCGGGCCGGGCCTCCCAGCGCACCCGGGCCTGGCTCGGCCCCGGCTCTTCCCTGGAGAGCCGGCCCAGGAAGGGGGGGCGGGGGGCCCGCCCGGGGAGCCCGCGAACTGGCGGGGGCTGTAAGGCGCGGGGACGGTCCCCTCCCCACCCCCCAGCCCAGCCGTTGCCATGGCGCCCCGGGGCGCGCGGGGCACGACCTCCTCTCAGCCCCTGCGCTCGTGACCCAGCCCATTTATAGGGCACGGGCCGGGGGGAGGGGCTCTGAGGTCCCCAAGCCCCGCCCACCCTCCGTGACGCGCTACTCGGGTGCCAATGGGGAGCTGCCACACTCCAGATCCGGTTCGGGGGCGGGACTTCCGGCCCTGCCGAGGCCGCTCGAGTGGAGTCCGGCCGCCGCCGCGGAGGGAGCGAAGCAGGAGCCGCCCGCCCCGACTCGCCGCTGCCCGCCATGGCTCTGCCCGGGTCGCTGCTGCTGCTCCTGGCCCTCGGCCCCTGCGCGGGCCGCGCCTCCGACGTGCTGGAGCTCGGGGACTCGGACTTCGAGAGCGGCCTGGCCGAGCGCCCGGGGCTGGTGCTGGTGGAGTTCTACGCGCCCTGGTGAGCCGGGCCGGGGGGGGGGCCTGTGGGGCCGGGGGGGCCTGTGGGGCCGGGGGGGCCTGTCGGGGCCGGGGCCTGTCGGGCCGGGGGGGCCGGGGCCTGTCGGGGCCGGGGGGCCTGTCGGGCCGGGGCCTGTCGGGGCCGCGTGGTGGCCGAAGCGCGCCGGGAAGGGGCGACGCCGCTGCCCCTTCGTGCGCCGGGACCGGGAGGGCCGCAGCACGGGCCTGACGCTGTTCAGGGCAGCAAACCGCCCCGCGTCGACAAGGCCCTGGGTCCCCGCCTCTCTGTGGGGAGCCGACCTCCTGGCCGCGAGTTGGGTGTGGCGTAGCCGGCTCTCCTGCCTTAGCACCCCTTGCTGAGCGCCCTGTGGTGGGCGGCCGCCTTTGGCATTCACCCAACCCCCCCCCCCGGTTGGCTTTTAGTCCCACCCCTTGTGGGGTGACAAAATCCGGCAAAACCGAATGTCCAGTGTGCAGCCCTTGATTCTGGGCCCAGTGGCGAGTCCGTGCTTCTTTCTGGGCATCTTTATTCCTTTCTCAAGGGCTTCATGCTTCGAAGTGGCTGGTGGAGGACCCCCAGGCCCTCCCTCTACACTGGGCTCCAGCACAGGGACCCTAGGACAGGCAATCAAGGTTTACTCTGGCAGACTCTTTGCTGCTTGTTGCCTTGTCTTTTTCCAAAATACAAAACAAAAGTCACTCGTAAGTGCAGTGTTATCTCAACTTACTTTAAACAGGGTGTTTGCAGTATATGATGGTAGACTACTTCCAACTTAATCTGATAAAACACTGGGTTCCGTGGTATCAAAACAATTCTTAGTTGGAAATTGGACACCTTAAAATAAGGGTCTGTGTTTTCTAGCTTAAGATAAGGGACTGTGTTCTGCATTTCTAGGAAGTACTAACTGCTTGCTTTACTTACGGACTTGACACAATTTTCTAATTGAACTGCCTGGTATAGAATGAGAACTACAACTTCCATCATGCGTTAGGTTGCAGGAAGATGAGGAGGATCTCTGCTGTGGTGTCTGCTTTTAATTGGTTAGAAAATGGGTTTTTGTTTGCAAGTCATTGGTGAAATAGGAGTGTTCCCATTTTGATGTATTATCTTATACTTCTCAATTAATATCCAGCTTCAAAAATATGCAGGACTTCCTAAAAAATCCCTTCCACACTATGGAATAGTGAATAAGTCAGCAATTCACTGAGTACGTTTGTTTGGCTAGACAAATGGAACAGCAAATCTTGGTCACTTACACAGATCCTTTTGAATTAAGGAGAAAATACTAGCTCATGGACAAGCTTTCATTAGTTAAATTGCTTGAGGGAAGCAGAGCAAAAGAAACCTAGGATTTCTAGGAACTTCGGAACTGGATGTCTTGGATATAGTCCCTTTCATTCTGTGCCACTAGATTTTGCAGTATCTATCTCGCTATGTGTTGCCAGAGGATGGAAAGCTACAGTGTGTGGTGGATAATGCTATTGGCACCAGAAGATGTTTGACTAATGTTGCCATTTTGTTAGTTTGGGTTACTGATTAGCTGGGATGATTAAAATAGTGATTTATTTTTACTTTAAGTTCTGTAAGGAGTTACTCAACTTTCAGGATTATTAAAATGAATTTAACTTACCTGTTGCTGAAAATGTCAGACCTCTGTAAACTAGACAGCAGTTCACTGGGTGACAAAGCTGCAAATACAAGGTGTTTCAGGCCTGTATTAAGCATCAAATTATATCATGGTTCTGTGGTTAGTGTGAGAATTAAGTTATGGAATCTTCAGGTGCTCTTACATCTACCTTAAGTCTTGTTCCTGTGTATCTTCTACTGCAATGGATAGAAAGTCAGGACATGGCAAGTCCATTCACAGTAGGTAAATATGTTGACTGGATGATTCATGAATATTCGGTTTCAGACTTAATTCCACTCATCTCAGTGGGCAGGAGTTAAATTGCAGTGCTTAGTGCTAATGTTTGTTGGGCATCTGTAGGAAGACAATAGTGTGCTGGCGTGTATTCTAGCAAAGAGAGTAAAGTCTTTGGGAAGATCAACACTTTTTTTTTTTCTTCCCACTCTGGTCAAGTAGGGGAACTCCAAAATGTTGGGAAGGAATAATGTCAATGTGACTTATCCCATCTCTTTCCCTCAGCCCTTGCCTGAGCTCCAAGTTGAAAATCTTTCCAGTAAGCCTCATTGTTTCTATGAAGGCTGTTTGGGTCGGTTGTGTGTGACCGTGTGGAGATCCTTGGTAAATGGAAACATGGCATCTGCCCAATTGTAGGGAGGCTTTTCCTTGTAACCGAACTGTCACTTCCCCTTCAGGTGTGGGCACTGCAAACGACTAGCCCCGGAGTACGAGGCTGCTGCTACCAGACTGAAAGGAATTGTCCCTCTAGTAAAGGTATGGACCTAGCCCGAGTTCATGGTTCTGTGACAAGTTACCTGCTCTGACTGGGCTGGAACCTTTTTGTGGCAGCAGATTTTTACACTTACAGTCCACTTACTAAAAGTTTGTGTTTGGGGCTGTACCCTGACTAGTGCATCCAGTGGTTCCATGGAGATTTAGGGTCTGACTTAATTTCCTCTGTTTCATAAATGTGAGGGGGTGGGTTTCTGTTCTGCTCCATTTGGAGGGAATAGTCTACAAAGCCCCGAGTCCTCCTGCCCCAGATCTTAAGCAGATTTCCTCCACTGGAGGCAGTATTGTGCAAGTAGTGTGCTGTCCGCCTCTGGAGCGCTCGGTGTTCATTGCTGCCAAGAGGATTGGTCTGTTCCTGTGCAGGGCAAGCTAGAGAGCCCGTCCCTTTACTGCGGCAATGAAATTCCCTTTTTCATACCCTACTACTCAAGGCTTGGGAAAAACAAAGGACGTGTCTGTAGGCATTATATGCAGTAAATGATACGCTCAAATCCTGGGTTTAGGGGATTTTGAGGCCTAATGCACTTGCATCTCCTGCCTCTCCCTCTGCACTGTGCAGAATACTAGAAAAGAGTCTGTATCCCTGCATGCAAACAAACTCCTTCCTCATTAAGTCGTGATGGAGAAGCTCTCCTAGGCCCTACTCAGCTCACTGCAGGGGGCCAATGTAGGGATGTGCCTTACAGCACTGCCTTGAGGCAGAGGGCTGCTATAAAGGGAAGCTTTCTTGTGAGGTGGTTAAGAAGTACAGGGAACCTATCACTAACTTGCACAACTCCACTAAGCCAGTGCCTCATCGCAGTCTCTTCACACCATCCAGTCCCAGTTTACTTGTATCCGTCCGTCTGGGCATGGGGAGCGTTCTTCGATTTCAGCCATCTCTAGGCACTGTTACATTGGGTGATGAACGGAATTTTAGGGTTATCAGTGGAGTCTCTCACATTGCATCTGGTGCACTTTAGTTTCTCCTGTAGTGTCCTAGCATGTACTTCCCTAGCCTTGTTAGCCAGGTTAAATCTTCAGATCTCCCAAAGTCCATGTCCCAGCCACCCTGTGGGTGCACTAGATCTGGCCTATAAGCTTCCATGGGCATGGATAGTCTGCTCCATATTTTTTAGAGCACTGATTGCATGTTCCGCAAGTAAAGGAATACAAGGTGGCAGCCGAAGCTTGCTTTTGTTCCTGTAACTTTCCGCCAGAAGTCCCCTCCCTGTGGATAGACACTTTGCCTTTTAATGCCCTGTTGAGGTTGCATTTCTCTGCTTCATAGGATTATGTGGTGGGCCCTCTATGGGGAAGCTGTCTTGTGCTGCTTCTGATTTCTGCAGCAGAGGAGTTTGTGCTACGTGCCAACACTGCATGAATGTGATGGTGTGTTAAGGAGCAGTATTTCTCTTCTTCAGGTTGACTGTACAGCAAACTCAAACACCTGTAACAAATATGGAGTCAGCGGCTATCCCACCCTGAAGGTTTTCAGGGATGGTGAAGAGGCAGGTGCCTATGATGGGCCCAGGACAGCAGGTAAGGATCCTGGCATGGTGCTGCAGCACTTTCCCATCTGGATTGTATTTGACTTGTTGCTATGGAGATGGGAGTGTCCTGGCTGCATGGCAGTACTAGGCTCAACTTATTTGTCTGCCTGTTGGTGGGAGGGATGGGGGTAGAAGCACTGGATACTTGAGTATCTAATTGGTTCCTGGTAAAGATGAGGCACTGCAAGTCTGCCTTGTCCACAACATCTGATCAGCAGTGGGAGAGATCCGGTGGCCAAAAGACATGGGAAGGAGAGAATATTGCTGCATGTTGAGTGTACCAGATTGCTGAATGTATCTGCCTATCTCTGAAATTCTACTGCAGTGTAGCTGTTGCCCAGGGCTTGTTGCTTAGTGCAGTGATCTCGGCCAGTGGTATGCAGAGGACTTCCAGGAGGTATATCAACTCACCTAGATATTTGCTTAGTTTTATAACAAGTTACATTAAAAGCACTAGCAAAATCAGTAGAAACTAAAATTTTCTACAGACTATGACCTGTTTATACTGCTCTGTGTACCATACACTGAAATGTAAGTGCAGTATTTCTATTCCAATTGATTTATTTTGTAACTGTAGGGTAAAAATGAGTCAGCAATTTTTTAGTAAATGTGCTGTGACATTTTTGTGTATTTAGGTGTGGTTTTGTAAGCAAGTAGTTTTTAAGCAAGGTGAAACTTGGGGTACACAAGACAAATCAGACTCTTGAAAGGGGTGCAGTAGTCTGGAAAGGTTGAGAGCCACTGGTTTAGTGCTCCAAGGTCAGGTTTCAGAGTAGACAGAAAGACACTCTGTTTATGTAATGCCTTGTGATGAGCATTGTGCACTGGTCTCTTGAAACTTGCACGTCTTTTGACTCCTTATGCTACTGCACTGGTAGCTAGGGGAGGAAGGCTTTACATTTGCATGGTAAAATTGGGGGTGAATAGGTCCTGCTGGGATGTTGATGCTCTGGGAATCCTCTATGGATCTCTTCCAGCTCAACATGCTTTCATGGAAGTTCCATTGTAGGGCTGAGATGCATACATATTTGTATTACAGTAGTGCTTAGAGACTTGGCTGGGGTCCCATTTAGCTAAGTACTGAACAGGCATATGGTGCAGAAACAATCCCTCTCCTAAAAGCATAGAATCAGTCTCCTAGAACTCCATAAAACCATCACTCTAACACTGCTGTATGCTTTGCTTCCTTCTTCCTCAGATGGGATTGTTAGTCACCTCAAGAAACAGGCAGGACCTGCCTCAGTGGCTCTCCGCTCTGTGGCAGATTTTGAAAAATTCATCAGTGATAAAGATGCTTCTGTGGTGGGTGAGTAGTACAAGCCAACACAGCCTTTAAACTACATTGGATACTTTGTCCTGGGGGAAGTCTGTCTTTCAAGTCCTCAAAGTATGTTGCTACTGCTCTCAGAAACTTGTAAATAGCTGGAGATCTCTCCTTGAACTTACGCATCCACCAGTCCCCATCCCACTCCTTCTCTCCCATCTCTCCCCGCTTGCTGGAATCTGATTGCCTTGAGCTCTTGGAGCCAAACATGAACATCAAGGATTATATCACAAGATGCCTCCAGAGTATCCTGATTTCAAGTCATGATCTGATGATGGCATATGGATGATACCAAAACATCCTTCCCCATCACTCATGCAGATCCACTGACACCCACTCTAACTGGGTAAGTATCTTAGACCAGTATTTCTCAACCTTTGTGATACCTGGGAATGGCCTGCTGCCTTGCTAAACTGTGTCAGGGTCCCAGGGTGCAGTCCACGGAACGGTTGTTGAGAAACCCTGCCTTAGACAGTGGCGTCCAAAAAATATCTGGATGAGTCACCAGTATAGCCCGTGAAATAGCCTCAGAACTGCTGGTGCTGGACTATTAAGGTTAACAAAGCAAGCAGCCCGCTTAGCTGAGAATAATGCCTTGGTGAACAGTTCTGGATGATGCATCACAAGGCTTTGCTTTTTCTTTCGGGGTAAGGTTCGTGCTGGAGCACTGGATAGGCACCTGTAGATGTATTTAAAATGTGAAGAAATAGCCGGGTCTCCCCAAGGACCCTGTTCTGACTTCATCCCCTGGGGGCAACATACTGTACCCAGCCATACCTGACACATGCAGGGATGGCTGTCACATCAGCCTTGTAGCACTCAACAGTCTCGCCACATTAGCCTGACTCAGGTCATCGCACCAGCAACTCTGCTAATCCAAGGAACATTTCAAATGGGAGCTTGAAGGAGACCAGAACTGGGTGGAAAAACTGCCCTCTGACTCCTGTGGAGTAGTATTATAGGGCAGGGGTTCTCAAACTTTGTGGCATTGCGACCCTCTTCTGACAACAAAAATTACTACATGACCCTGGGATGGGGACCGAAGCCCGAGTCCCACCACCCACCCAAGGCTGTGGGGCTCCAGTCTTCAGCCCTGAGCCCGAATAAGTATAAGCCAGCCCTGGTGACCCCATTAAAATGGGGTCGTAACCCATTTTGGGGTCCCAACCCACAGTTTGAGAACCAGTGCTATAGGGCACTGCCTCTGTCCAGATCCCAGCTGCCCAGCGTGCAGCTCCATCTCTGGCTGCAAGTAGCAAACTTCTTCTGGGCTGGTGATTGAGCCGGATGTACTCCCAAAGAAAGCTGCTTGGCTCCTGCTGGGGCAGAAAGAAGGAAGGAAATGCTGGTGTATTTCTAAAGGAACACAGGGAAATTGAACCTTGCTAAACAGAAGGAGTTGAGCTGGGCAGAGAAGAGCCCATTCGGAAGTGACGGATTCTCAGGCAGAGTAAATACAGAAGAGTTGAGTCAAACAGGGAAATGACATGTGCTGAGGCAGAGTTTCTGTAGGGTCCCCGTGTCTCTCTCTGTTGCAGGCTTCTTCAAAGATGCATTTGGTGATGCTTATTCAGAGTTCATGAAAGCAGCCAGCAACCTAAGAGAGAGCTACCGCTTTGCACATACCAGCGAGGAGGAGCTGATACAGAAGTATGAGGCAGATGGAGAGTAAGTGGCTCAGTGTACACATGGTTCTTGTTGGGGCAGCAGGGACAACCTCAATGACCCCTCTCAGACAGCTGTGCTTTGGAAAGTGATTTCCTTTCATAGCTTCCCATGTGGGCCAAGACCAGAGGAGGTTAATCTTTCTAAAATCAGTACTGTTGGGTCCAGCTGGAAATCCCTTCAGACCAGCCTGCCTATGTCCTGCTGTTGGGCACTTGAGGCCCTTGAGCCGTAAACTACAGTGAGTGGGTCATGGTTCTTGTGGAGGGGCAGGGGAGAGAAGCTGACCTATAAACACTTGTAAGGTCTCCCTTACCTGCTGGGCTGGTGTATGCGTGTCAGACTCCTGCCTCACATGGAAAGTACTGTACCAGGAGGACCTAAATTGGCTTTTCAAACCTGGCTGTTTGTTCCCTTATTGCCCATCCTATTCTTCCCTTGTCACCACGGGGTGGGGGTTGTTTACTTGTTAACTGCCAGAAATCGTGCTGCTTGTTCTGGCTAGTAGCATAAGACTCGGCCAGGTGGCTGAGGTACAGGTAGCTTTGTTCAGGACCTGGATGATTCCACTGTGTACTTGGAAAGGTGTCGACCAGTCTTCTTGCCCCCGTGTCCCCATACTGCTAGTTCTCCAGCTGTTTCATGTTGTGCTCTCCACCTCTGTCCAGGGGTGTTATCTTATTCCGTCCTCAACGCCTGGCAAATAAATTTGAGGACAGCACTTTGAGGTACACAGAGGACAAAATCACCAGTGGCAAGATCAAGAAGTTTCTCCAGGAGAACATGTGAGTGATGTCTCACTTCCATCTCAGGGCTTGGGTGGGTGATAGAGTTCAGCTAAATTCCCTAGACTGTGAGCACTCTGGCTCAGCCCTATTGCCTGGGCATGGCTAGTAGCACTGCCTCTGGGCTACTAAATTCTAGCTGAACTTAGGGGTTCTTCTAATGGAACACACAGAATAGTTGGCTTGTGGGCACTTAGTGCACTGCAGGTCCATCATTCATTCTCAAGAATGAGATTTCTATGTGGGTTTTTCCTCTGCACTAACCATGGCTGCTGGGCACTTGATCTAGCATTCCAGTAACCTGGTTTGCTCATTTGATTTTAGGTCAGTTTTTGTCACAAATAAAAGTAGGTCCCTAATTTGATCAAAACCTGTGTGTAACTTTGTATGTCCAGCTACAGTAGCAGAACCCCACAAACTGGCCTGATGCACAAATGAGCTATTTGAAGAAAACACTTTTCAAATAGGCCTGCTGGATATCGGCAATTGTATGGATCCTGTGATCTTGAATGAGAACGAGACTGTGCTAGGACAAGGTTATTTCTGGGTGGGGAGGAAGGGCTCAGATAGTGAGATGCAGGTTGCTAACTACTACTTTGTTGATAGTTTTGGCATCTGTCCACATATGACGGAAGATAACAAAGACTTGATCCAAGGGAAGGACTTGCTGGTGGCTTATTATGATGTGGACTATGAGAAGAATGCCAAGGGCTCCAACTACTGGCGCAACAGGTAAGCAGAGGAAGATAGATCCTAGTCCACAGTCTTCCTCCCTTCTGCAGTGCACTGGCTTGGTGGGTTCCTGTGGCTTATCTGGCAGAACGCTGTCCCCAGTGTGCAAACTCAGAAATCATTTCTGGGGCTCTAGTAAATTCTTCTTTCACTTGGCTCTGTCTACAGGGTGTGTTGTCACTACAAGTAGAGAGGCATTGCAGGCCACCATCCTGTTCCTTGAAATGTTGCTTCTGATTCTGGAAAACTGACTCTCCCAACTTGTGCTTCTGTAGCAAGCAGTTGGTGTTTCCATAGGTTGCAGGCAGCCCGCTAACATGTCTGGAGCATTAATTCAGCATCAGGTGTAGACAGTGCATTTGACATGCTTATCAGGAGCTCTGATTCCTTTATCTGTCCATAGCAAAGTTGCTTGACTGAGGCCCAGAACAACTAATCTTGCTGAGGAGGCTCATGCTCAATTCCATTTTTTGTACTCCACCTTACTGGGACTTGATTCCCTATGCAGTGCTGCAGCCACAGGAGACCTGGTTGATCAGAGCTGACTGATGGTTTATGGGGTATTCAGTGCAAAATGTAGACTTGTTGAAGCTATGCATTGGGAGATCCCTAGGTTACACCCAGTTTAGTAGCATGTTCTTCTTTCCTGTTTCTCCAGCTGCATTTTCATGTTCCTTCTCTTTGCAGAACCTCCTAACCAGCAGATCCCCCCCACTAATTCATGTTTCTAGCTGTTTTCCGTTTCAGCTGAAAGAGGTGGTTCTCTTCCTCTCCCCAAGTGCTCTGTTGTCTTGGAGAAACTGTTTAATGTTCGTAAGCATAACAGCACATTTCCTCTGCTTTACTCAGAGTGATGATGGTGGCGCAGAAGTTCCTGGATGCTGGACACAAGCTCTACTTTGCTGTTGCTAGTAGAAAAACCTTTGGCCATGAGCTTTCAGAGTTTGGCCTGGACAGCAGCACAGGGGAGGTTCCTGTCGTTGCCATCAGAACTGCCAAGGGAGAGAAATATGTCATGCAGGAGGAATTCTCGTAAGTCCTGGGCGTGGCGCACCCTCCTGGTCCAGTCACAGGCAAAGCCTTTCAGATACTTACTACCCATCTGGGCTCATTGGGAGGACACCTGAGCTGGATGCTTGTGTTTCAGAGGAGTAGCTGTGGCTGTAGGCCAAGCCTGTCCCTGGGTAGTTACACACTATGGAAGGATTACATTAGGAGCTGCAAGCTCTAAGGTTTGAGGGTTTAATTCCAGGATACCTAAAAAGTAGAGACCGGCATAGAAAATAACATGAGACTGAACAGCCGAAAGAGTGAATACCTAAAATAAAGGGCATGGGAGACACACTTCAGCCTATCTCCTGGGTGGGAGGAGCGTGGGTGGCAGGAAGCCTGACTTACCAGGGTGAACATGTGCACCAGGCAGACTTTCCCAAAATCCTGGAGGTGGCCACGTGGCTTTTGTGCCCTGGGTCATCTGTGGGAGTTAGAGCTCTGGGTTAGCACTGAGGATCTGAGTAGTTTTCTTCAGTGTGCTGCTGTCTGTGGGTAGAACAAAACTCCCTCGATTTGTAGGGTGCACTTGCTAGTTTTGTGTGCCAGATGGCTCTGAAATGTCACCTGTATTTGATTTGTAGCCGTGATGGGAAAGCTCTGGAGAGATTCTTGCAGGATTACTTTGATGGTAACCTGAAGAAATACCTGAAATCGGAGCCCATCCCTGAGAACAATGATGGCCCTGTGAAGGTAAGTGCAGCTGAGACATGCTGTTCAGCCAAAGGCTGTATGTGGCTGTTGCCTCTCTCCAGCTAGAACACTGTATGTTGAGCTGACAGAAGTGTTCTGTGCAGGCTTCAAGGACCACTGCCTGCAGTTTGCTGCATGAGGATCAGGCTCACTCAGGTCAGAGCCTGGAGAGTGAGCATGTGGTTATTAACGTGCAGAAATGCTGCTCATCTGGAGAATTCGATCTTTCCAGGTGGTGGTTGCTGAAAATTTTGATGACCTTGTTAATGCAGAGGACAAAGACGTCCTGATTGAGTTCTATGCCCCATGGTGTGGCCACTGCAAGAACCTGGAGCCCAAGTACAAGGAACTTGGAGAAAAGGTAAGCTGGGAGCTCTTGCCTGCCAGCTTTGAAGGCAGCAGTCCTCCCCCAGAACTGAGCGGTCCCAGGGTTGTGCTCAGCTGGCCGAGCCATAAGGTGGCATGAATGTGCCTAAGGGGCCTCCTCTGACTGCTATCTAAACTGGCACTGGTCAGTAAGCAGCTGGCTACTTCTGCCCTCTAGTTACATTTGAGGTTGGGCACCACCAGGAGCATCTCCTTTGGCGCTGGCCAGGGCACACCAGTATTCCCTGGTCAGTGGCTGCATGTCTCCAGGTTACTGTCCTCTGTCCAAACACTGCTGAGAGCTGGTCCCCAGGGAATCCTTCCTAGAAAGATGCCTGCCTGAGGGAAGGGTTGGCTGTATTTGGCTCAGGTCTGGTCCCTTGGCTCCTGTAGTCCTCAGTTCTTAGTTCTCGGGACAGGGCGAAGGCACATGGGGACAAGCATAGGCAGCAACCAACTTAATCAAAGCACCAGAAGTGACAAGGTGGTGTAGTGATGCTCCCACTCTAATATGGTAACATCCTGCTAAATAGAAAAATCTGATGAATCTATTCCTGTATAATGTCTCTTTAAACAGAAGTTTCCTGTTATGATTTTATTTCTGATCTTTATATGGCAAGAGTTTGTGAACTCGTTATACATTGTTAGAGGCAGCAACTCCCCCTGCTCACCCAGGAAGCCTTGGCCTTCTCTCCCACAGGCAATGCGTAAGGGTGTAAGTTGGAAGGATAGCCTCCTAAACCTGCCCATGTATCTCTAGGGCTAGCCTGGATATCAGACAGCAAGCTTGTGCCCTCCTTACTACCCATACCAGCCTGAACTGGCACTGCCCAGTCTCTCACCAGGACAAAGCTTGGACTCACTAGATTATTTGTATTACCACAGCCTTTGTGCTAGGCGCTGTACAAATGAATGCTGCTGTCCCAGATCCTGCCCCAGCCTCCCCCAGCTGTTCTGATAGACATCTAGCCAAGAGCCCCCCTGTCTCCCCTTGGCCTTGGAACACACATTCCTGGCCCTAGTGGAACATGGGGGGTCAGCATCTTCCCCCAGTGTCCACAATACACTAGTGATAATCTGTTCACTAATGTGCTGTCCTACCAACAGCTCAGCAAAGACCCCAACATTGTCATAGCCAAGATGGATGCTACAGCCAATGATGTGCCTTCTCCATATGAAGTTCGAGGGTAAGAACTTCAGCTTGTATGATATTGGGTGGGGTGGCAGAGGAGAGTCCTGGCTACTGCCTCTAGCCAGTGACTGCTACAGAAGGGCTAGGGAATCTCTCTGGGTTTTTTTTTGCGGGTGGAGAGACTGGCTCTGATGGCAGCTGGGGGCTGATGTGCTTGTTACAGTCGCTGGGAACTTGCTTGTCTTGCTTCTGAGCAGCTGTCAGCAGAAATTTAGACTTGGAGTAACCCAAACAAAAGCATCTGCCCTTGCTCCTGTGCAGGGTGTCGTGTATCCCAGCCATACCTGCACACAACTTCCTGAATGTCTCTGGCCCTTCCTTCCTTCTACTTCTGAGACTGTTCTTGAGGATGAACTGCACTGGGCACCTGTCTTTCTGCAAACCTGAATCCAGGTGCTCAGTCAGCCCTGCTCCCAGGGCCAAACAGAAGGTGCTTATATCTCCTCCTGGGGCATGGCTTGCTACTGTTCTGGGCTTCCTCTGGCTGAAGGTGCCTTGAACTGCTTGTCCCTTGACTTGCGTGGCAATAGACTCCATGCAACAGTGATTCTCCCCTTTCTGTGGCTCCAGGCAAACCTGGTGCCCTGCACAGTGAGTGCTAGACTCACTCCTGAGGGGTTGGGACCTGAAGAATGATAAACACAGTGGAGCTGACATGTCTCTTCTCTCCCCAGCTTCCCCACTCTCTATTTTGTTCCAGCTGGTAACAAGCAGAATCCAAAGAAATATGAGGTGAGTGTCTGCTTCCTGCCCTGGGAGCTCTGTATGCAGGTTTCCTCTTTGCTGCTGTAGCTGTGGGCAGCACCCATTCAGCTGCATTCGTGCAGCTGAAGAGTGCTGTGGGGCTGCACAGGCCCCTGGGAATGCTGCCCTGCACATTGCAGGATGCCTGCACTGTAGCTGCATCTCTAGGACACATTGGTGCATCCTGCGGGAGAGCCTTAAAGGGCTCTCAGGGAAATGGTCTGGGGAAGCTTGGTCTCTCTTGAGGCAGTGAACACTCCCCATTTGGGGCCAGCAGGTCCAGATATTCCCAAGACCACAGGGAGTGTCAAAGCCAGGATCCTAGTGCTCAGCCCTGGCCTCATGCTCTTGTGCTGTTTGCAGGGAGGCCGGGAGGTGAGCGACTTCATTAGCTACTTGAAGCGGGAGGCAACCAGCCCCCCTGTGCTGCTGGAGGAGGAAAAGCCCAAGAAAAGGAAGAAGGCCCAGGAGGATCTGTAAAGCACCCAACTTATCAGTGTGTCAGAGGAGGAATTGTGGGGGCATTGGGGAAGCCCTGGGTGTCCTGGGGCCAGCTGTGGGGAGTGAAGAAACTGTGCCCAATGCAATGTGGGCTGAAGGGACCCAACTGCTGTACCTAGTTGTGTTTAATTTCCTGCTGTCTCTTTGCTGCATTCTTATGGGGCTGCCCCAGACTTGGGTGGTGATTGGGGGGTGGGGAAGGGGGGTGGGGCAGGGGGAGATGTGTTTTCTAATTTTTTTGTACATTTGGAGAAGTGAGACAATAAAATGGACCCCTTTAAACCACACATCTGTGCCCAGTGCTGCAACTGGCTGCTGCTGAGAGCCCTGTGTAAGTGGCCCCAGCATCCATGCGCTGGCTAGGAGACTATGGCTTATGGTGTGTTGCCCTGCTCCCAGCTGGAAGCTTTGCCTGGGTGTTTCCTGACAACTGTGGGACTGCATGGGGAACAAATCCCACCCAACCGTGCACTTCATCCTGTGGTCCATGAGGTCCAGTACAAGAGGTTGGTGGGGAACTGGCCACTGCTATGCTGCTGTGGGAACTTGGCCTAGAATGGGGCCTGTGGGTGTGCAGGAAGAAGTGGGTAGGACTGCATGGTGCTTAGGGGCAGGAGGTGCAGATGAGTCCTTTCATCCCTTTGAGTATAGAACACAAGCTCTGTGGCAGGGCACAGCTGCCATCATGAATGCCCCAGATGGCAGTGAAGTGGCAAGAAGCCTGCCTGAGGTCCAGGCCTGGTCTGCTAGAGCCCAGGGCTGCAGGTGACCTGCTCCTGGTGTTCCTGCAGCTATCTCCAGGGCTTGAGTCTGGGCTTTGTGGGGGAGCAGCTCAAGCTGTGCCAAACATTAAGTGGGTTTCACTTGGTGCTGGGCCTGGCAGGCACAGCAGCTCTCCCTGGCAAGTAGCCGGAGGTGTGGCAATGGTGTGAGCAAACCCTGCTGTGCCACAAGAGGCTAGGACCAGCCATGAAAGCATCCCCCAGCCAGATAGAAGGGCAGGGCACTTTGCTTGGTGCTCAGCTCCCTTGAGGGCAGGCAAGAGCTGAGATTGCAGCTGAGCCAGCCTCTAGGTGCCTCTTACTTCTCAGACAATGGCCTCTTTAAGACACAGCTCTGCTGGCCACAGGGCTCCTAACCCTGCTGCTAAGGAGCTAGCCTTTGACTGTAGCCTGCTGTCCTGTCTCCTGCTGGCTGGCTGCTCCAAGCCTACATCCCTTCCAAGGTTTTGTGCACAGGTGTTTGAACTACCATGAACAGATGGCCTTCTGTATTTACCTTGGTGCAGGTAGGAGCCACTGTGCTGGGCAGCAGGAATGAGAGATGAGTGGTTTCCTAGTCCTGGAGGCAGAGAACTGCAGGGGAGGATTGGTAAATCTGAGTACTGCTGTGTTCTGGCTCTGCACTCAAACCACTCCAGCAGGGCTTCTCCTCCCCTGTAACTTGTTTCACAAAACACCATGGCTGGGTCTCTACACCTTTATTACTAGGGCACGCTCTAGGTACAGTAGCTTGCACAATAGCATTTACAAGGTCTCCCCACCTCCCACACTGGCTTTGAATGCTCTACTGGTCAGGTGGGTAACAGCTGTTCATGTCAGCCATGAATAGCTGTTACCCACCTAGCCAGTAGAGTGTTCATATTAATGCTCCTGTTTGCTCAAGCTAGGCCCATCCTTCAGCTAACGCACCCTGGGCCTATCCCTGGCAGCAGGGCACTCTGGCTGAGTGGCTTAGTAGTTACTGTATTATTACAGAGAGCACCTAGGAACCCTCAGCACAGCCCCAGGGTGCTGTGCACACACTTCCTTGGACAAGGCAGCAGAGCCTGTGCGTGAGGGCTCCATCCCCTCCACTGAGGCCAGCTGGTAATTAAGGCAAAGGGTTTCATCACTTGCAGCCCTGCAGTTAGGCCCTGACACATCAGTTTCTCCTGCTGGGTTGGGGCAGGCTAGTTACTTTGAAAGCAGGAGGAGCCGAGGCAGGTGCTGGGAGAGGGCTGAAGGGCACAGCCACGCATGCCTCCATATTGTACAATGAACTGTTTAACCCAGGGCCATAAACCAGAAACAAGGCAGAACTTCCAGGGCCTTCACCCCTCCTGCTCATTTCCTCCTGCATTCATAAGCAATCATTACCATCTCTTCCCCCCCCACACCTTGCAGTTCCATGTAGCAATGTCAGCAGGTTCCCAGGGTAGTTCTGATTGCAGCAGGGAGAGAGAGTTGAAATACACCAACAATGGGGTGCACAGCCAAGGAATGTGAGGCACTTCCCTGTCCCCTCAACTCCTGTTACAGAACACTGCTCAAGCAGGTAGGTGTCAGTAATCAAACCCCAGCACAGACTCAGCCCCAGGGGCATGGTGCCCTTAGCTCTAGCAATTGAAATTGCCCCTGCTGGGCAAGGGTCTGCCATGCTCTAAGCGCCTGGGGGAGGAAGCCAGTGACGAAGGTGGCAGGTCCCACTTGATAGCAAAAGCCTACTTCTCCAGCAGGCAGCGTAGGCTGGGCAATGCATGGAGCTGGCTGTTACAAGCCTGAAGCCAGGGAGCCTGCCCTGACCGAGCAGCCTTCCCTCCCCAGCAGAGCTCTAGGGTACAGGCTGCCCCTAACCTGGAGCTGCACCTCACAGGGGACAATTCACTAAGACCCTCACCCACTCTCTGTACTTTGTGGCAGCCACATGCTCTGTCCTGTGAGCCCCTCCCTCACCCCACCCCACCCCAGATCAGTCAAATGGCTGCATTGGACACTAGGCTGGGGGACTGCAACTACTACTGCAGGAGAGTTCACTAACCCCCACCCCTTGCTCCCCTGCAAAGGGAAAGGAGAACGGGCAGCGCTTCCTGCAGGCTCCCCTAGGTAGCCCCTGTCTTCTCAAACTCTAGGATGAGGCCCTTGATGTGGGACAGCTTTTGGTGAAGATACTCGCAGCGGTTCTTCTCCTTCCTGTAGCTGGGGTAGGTCTGCAAGAGGAAGAGAGCACCCACATCAGCTCCTGCCAGGGAGCATCAGTCCCAGCCCCAGCCCCCCACCGCCAGCCTCACCTGCTTGAACCTCCGGTATTCCTGTAAGATTCTGTCTTCCACTGCCTGCAAACCAGGAGAGCTGACTCAGCACTCGGCCTAGGCACGCTGCCCTGCCGCCCAGCCCAGCCTCACCTTATGCTGCTGCGTCCCCCGTGGCAGCATTTTGATTTTAGCTCCCAGCTGGATGAATGTCCTGCTCACGTGCCCGATCCTGGTGTGGAGGTGCCGGTACTCTGCGTAATCCGCACTGAATGCCTCCACGTAGGCGTGATGCTGCTCCACGGAGCAGATGGCTCTGTATTTCCTAGCACAATCGGGAGAAACTACTGACTAGTCCCTCCATCAGGCCAGGTGAGCTGAGCAGCAGGGGCTCTGTATGAGGTGCACATGCCAGAATGCTGCTTTGTAGGAGCAACTCCATCTCTCTGACCCGCACCACTGCAGCTTCTCTGTGCACGAGGAAGAGAAAAGGCGGGCACTGCCCAGAAGCAGATGGAGCTGTCACACCACTGCCCACACGGTAGCTCCACAGCCTAAGGGAGTGGGGCCTGGTCTGCTTCTTGTCCAGCTTTGAGATTCCATTTACAACTTGGACTTTCAGGCTGGGAAGCTGCAGTTCAGCCTGGCTCCACGCCCCAGCCCTCTCCCCTCTACTCAGACTGTGGGAGCTGGGACAGGGACCCCCTCATGGTACCTGCAGAGTGGCTAGCCTGTTACACAGGTGAGGAGGAGCAATGTGCCTGGCAAGGACTGCCCGCCCGGCCATGCTTACCGGCAGTAATCTGGGAGCTCAGCGAAGGAGGCCGGGAGGCTTGCCTGGGAGCCACTGTCTGGGGAGGAAGCAAAAGAATTTGGGTAGAAACTCTTCAAAGTAATTTCCCCTCCACCCCCAGCCTCTGTCCCTCAATTCCTTGGGGTTATAGAACCACCGACGAGCAGGGGGTTGGACTAGATGACCTTCTGGGGTCCCTTCCAACCCTGATATTCTATGATTCTATGAAGCCCAGCAGGAGCTGCCTGAAAAGTCATGAGCTCCAGACACCTGCGCTGCCCCCAGCAGAGCCCCTCAGCCATGCTGGTGTGTGGAAGGGACGGGACGGTGCCCTGATGTCGCGCAGCCCAGAGGTGCTCCGGGAGGTTACCGGGTGGCATGTGAGCAGTAGGTGCAGCTCTGCCCAGCACTGCTGTGACTTGCCCCAGGGAAGCAGATGTGAGCCTCACTTTGGACTCACCCCAAGTCCTTTTTCATCCCCCCCGGGCTTCTGGCTGCTCTTCCCTAGTCTTGCTGCCTGGGGGCCGTGCAGCCCTATGTGGCAGACAGCTCTGGCTAGGGGCACTCCGGCTGACAAGGTGGGTCAGAGCCTGGCAGGCAGCAGGACATCCCCGAGGTGAGCTGGGAGCAGTGCAGCCCCTCACCTTGCAGGGCAGAAAGGTGCTGCTCCAGGCGCAGAGCTCCCTCTTCCCAGTCATCGCCTCCCTCCCCCTCGCTCGGCTCCTCCTCTGAGCTCTGCAGCTCCGCACTGGGCCTGGGAAGCTGGCATGGCTGCTGCTGGCTCTGGGTTCTCTGATGCTCCAGGACAGGCTCCTGCAGTCTGCGGTGGGATCCCAGAGAGCTGGGGGGGTGCTCTGGGGCACAGGGTTTCTTCAGCCCTTGTGGGTCCGAGGCATCCAGCAGTGCCAGTCGCTTCTGAAAGACAAACCCACCCAGCTGTGGGGGCTGCCCTGGATTCACCCCCCAGGCTGGAGTCCTTGTTGTAGGAAACAGGTGAGCAAGGAGGGATCCACCCCTTTCATCATGGCCCACGGGGCTACCCCTCCCCACATTCAGCGCTCTCACTCCCCGCTCTGGAGGGCAGAGCTGATGTTCTAGGCCAGCCAGGCACAGGTGCTGGAACTAGGATGCTGGGAGGCTGCTACACCCCCTGGCTTGCAGTGGTTCCATCCCACAGGGTTACCGTTTCGTTCAATGGCTCTCAGCAACCCACAGTACAAATGGTTCCAGCCCCCTGCAGCTGCTGCCCGCCAGGACTCCAGCCCCACAGCTGGAGCCTAGAGCCTTCCCCCCCAACCCACCCAAGGCCAGAGACTTGGTGCTATGGCTAGTGACACCGGGCAGTAGCCATGGCTCAGCAGCAAGGGCCAGGCCCAGCACACAGCTGGGACCAGACCCCTCCCAGCCCAGGAAAGACTCAGCCCAAGGCAGAGCCTCAAGGAGCTGCCCAGCCAGTGGCCTGGGCACAGTCATTCCCATGACTCTACAGCTCCTTCCCTGCTGCAGCTGGGACCTCGGGGAATTGTGCTGCGCTGTTAAGCAGTAGGGTGGTGGGTGGAAGCTGCCCAGGGGTGGCCGGACAGCTGCAGTGGCCCTGAACAAGGGGGAACAAGTGTCCGGCCTGCCCAGGGTTAGTGGAGGAGGATGCTGGGGCTCTGGATTTTGCGGGGAGTTGATCTTGCCCCAAGGCGGATGGGGGGCACAGTGGCTTCAAGAAGTGGCACCAACATATCTGCAAATCAGCTCAGTTCTCGTAATCAGGACATCTGCAATTTCTGCAAATAAATCTATGCATATTCAAATATGCAAATCAGGATATTAAGTCATCCTGATGATCTCCAGATTTCTGGACGTTTAGCCTTAGCAGGTTCTCAGCTCTTGTTCTCCTGCCCTTGCCTGGTTCTGGTCCCTGCGCCGGGCCATCCATTTGCCTAAGGCTTCATACCACCAATACTTACCACACCCAAGGGCCTTTTGCTGGCACCTTGGCAAGACGGGCACTCCAGAGGCACCAAGAAGGGCCTGGCCACGGCTCCGAGGGCCTGTTTCCTGCAGCAGAAGAGAGAAGAGATCTGGGGCAGCTACCATGGGCCAAGGCTGAGTATCACCCAAGAACAGGAGAGGAGATGCCCTGTCAGCACCTAGGCCTTGGCCATGGGGCCAGGCAGGCTGCGGTCAGGGCCTTGGCATTGGGATGGCACTGAGCTCACGGGAGGGGAACCAGGTGTGAACCCACCATCTGGCTGTGAAGCGTTCTGTGCCCAAAGCCAACTATACACACAGGCGTGCTCTGCAACCCTCCCTGCTCTGAAACATCTGGCCCCCTCCCACAGACAGCCGGGACTTCTGCATTAACCCTGGGGGCACCAGGGCAGCTCTCTGCCCCTTGCCCCAGGGCTGCACCTGTGCAGGAGCTGCCTGACTTCCTGCCGCTCCTCAGCTGTGTAGCCCAGCCAGTCCTCCTGCACCTGCCCAAAGAGCTCCTCCTTCAGCCTGTAGCTGCTCTCCCAGGGGTTCAGCTGCCCCACCTGCGTGGATGAGAGCAGCAGAGTCAGCGAGAGCTCAGGGGGCAGGAGACGCCGCACTGCCCCCTTGACCCACACTCACCTCCTCCAGCATGGGCAGCAGCTGGGTCTTGTCCTTCAGGCTGATCTGCACCCTGTCCAGCCGCTCCAGGAGCTCATGTTTGCAGTGGGGCCGCAGGGCCAGAAGCTGCACTAGGCATTTCACAAGAACACTGCGATCTGTCCCCATGGGGCTGCATTTCCTGCCCCCTGGAGCAGGGCTCCCAGCGGGGCACTTCCCCAATGGGGTGCTCATGCCCAGCTTCTTCGGGATGGTAACACATTTACCTGCAGAGGAATCAATGCACAAATGGCTGCTAATAAAGAACTAACCCCTCCAGATGTGCCCCTAAGGCCTCTCATCCCGGATCTCACAGCTAGCACCAGACTCTTCTCTGCCCGCCCACAGCTGGCCCCCCTTGGCGCAAGAGCCTTCTCCTCCGCAGCCCCTGGGTCCCTCCACTTCATTGTGAGTCTGGGCTAAATCCTGCCAAGCTGCGGTCTGGCACTTCTGCTGCAGCCAAGGTGCAGCTCAGGGGGACTGAGTAGGGGTCATGGAGGTGAGACGGCACCCAGAGAGAGAGGCTGGGCTCACCCAGTAGCTGTTGCAACCCCACCTCAGCCCCCAGCTACTTCCTGAACCCAGCCTTGCCAGCCCCACCCAGCAGGCCCAGGGCAGCCAGCAGGGTGCAGGCCGAGTCCCAGGGCCCCGCACCTTGGGCACAGAACAGCTGTGCGCAGTGTGGGACAGAGAGAGTTGGCCATGGGAGCCCAGCTCTGCTCACTCTCCCATGCATGGCACGGAGCCAGCTGCCAGCACTCCCACAGGCCACACGCTGCCCCGTGCCCATGCGCAGAGCGGGAGGGGCTGCTCTGCTCTCTCAGTGCTTCCTCCTGCTTCCCAAGGTCAGCCCCACTCCTGAGCCACGCCCTGACCCTGGCAGGATCCTGCCTTACCATGGCCTGGGGCTGCTGGCTTGATCTCGATAGCAGCTCTGCTCCACGCCTCCTTCTCCGCCTGGGACACACGCTCCCGTGTCAGCTGGTACGAGTCCTCGGAGGCACAGATGGTGATTTTCTCCTGGATGCTGCCCACGCAGTCCAACTGGTTCTGACCCAGCCTAAGAGCACAGAAACCTGTGTCACTGGCCTGGCCCCTGCTCTCTGCTAGCCACACCCTGAGAACATGCCTAGGAGAGGGAGCCTAGACACACCCTCAGACCGGGGGCACTTGCTACCACACAGCAGGGGCAGGGGTCAGAGCCAGTGGTATGCCCTTGTCTTGTCTCATCCCCAGTCCTTGCCCAACACGGCCACTCCCCAGGGCAGCCTCCTGCTGTGGTGGAGCGGAGATTTTCTGTCACATTGTGTATGACTAGTTTGCCTGCCTCGGGTTCCCCTATATGCTGCATTGCTAACGAGGCCCGGAGGCAGGCTTTGGCGCAGGTGTGAATGGCACTCGGCTGGCACCTCATCAATAGAGTCCATGAAGACAACAGCAAATCCAGTCACCAGGACTTCCCTAACAGCTAGGGACCATGGATGGCTCCACCTCTCTGCTGGAAGCCAAGTCGAGTTTGCCCAGCTGGAGAACAAACAACTGGGACTGGGGCGTGGAGGGTGGAGGTGGAAGTGAAGTGTGGGAAGCAGTCAGGGCTCACCTGACCTGGGACAAAGAGGGGTCAGAGGGACAGGGCTTTAGGCTTCACGCTGACCAGGATGGACTGTGCTGTAACTAGAAAAGGAGTACTTGTGGCACCTTAGAGACTAACCAATTTATTTGAGCATTGGTTAGTCTCTAAGGTGCCACAAGTACTCCTTTTCTTTTTGCGAATACAGACTAACACGGCTGTTCCTCTGTGCTGTAACTGTCTGTTTTCTGTGCTACCGAAGACCTCCCTATGCTGTGTGCCAGCCGACTATAAACCAACTTTCTCAGCACTGTGTGAGTGCCCCTGCAGATGCTGGTGGGGCTGCATTGCTCCCTAAGATAGTACAAGTCTCCCTCAGGGGTCTGCCTCAGTGGGACTCGCTGACCAGAGCTCATGGTGGGAAGCAGAGTGGCTGACAGGCCAGAGATGCAGCCTAAGGAGGCGGCGACACTGCGTGGCTCACCCTGGAGGAAGAGTGAGACCCCTCAGGGGTCTGAATCACTGAACAGCCCTCCCAGAGATTGTTCCAAAGCTGGGGTCACAGCACCAGTTCGGTGGGCGTGACACTCCTACACACTCTGGAATGGAAGCGCCTTCTCTGCAGACGCCCCACTGGGGAGTCAGCAGGGATGTGGGGCTGCCCCTCCCACAGGCCAGTAGGTCTCAGAGCCCTGCTGCCTCCCTGCCTCCCTCCCTCCCTCCCCGCCTCTCTGGCAGGCTCCGGTTGGTGAGGCTGGCAGGCCCTCTCCACCTTAGGGGCACTGGGCTGGCTCGTGGCTCTGAAGTGGGACCAGTGACTCCTCCCTGACCCTGAACAAACAGCAACCGCCCTCAGAGCAGGGCGGCGCCCCCTCCCCGCAAGTTAGCAGGGGTCAGTGGGAAGAGTTAGGGGATCGGGCTGCTCTGAGACTGTGGCAGCTCTCACCAAGCAACTCACGCAGCCTGCTCCTGCCCTGCTGAGGCAATTCCCAGCCACCTCCCGCCCTGCTGAACAGCCGGAGGGCGTCAGTCACCCCTTCACTCGGCACCGCCCTCTGCTTAGGAGCAGCTGCAATGCCTGTGTGGGGACAGCAGCCCCGACCTGGTCACTGCTACCCCCCTCCGCTGTCCGGAAGGAGACGGTCCTTGGGGGCGGGGAGGGGAGGAGAAAGGCTACACAGGCAGGGAGCTCCTGGCACACAGTGCCCCAGTGGATCTGGGGAGAGCAGGGGCTGCAGCACCACACAGAACTGTCACTGGACAGCACGGCCAGGCAGGTGCATCTGCAAAGAGCCAGCTCCCTCCCTGACACCAGAGCACACAGCCCCTTCCCCACCACTTGTGCCCCATCTCCAGCCTCACACACCACCCCCCTCAGAGCTGCCTCGGACTCAGGTGCTGGCCATGCCCCTACTCAGCCAGGTCAGGTTCCCGCAAGCCCTTGGCCCTGCCCCCAGCCACAAGCTGGGCAGAGGCCAGGAATCAGGTTACCTGCCTAGAGCTTCAGGTCAGGAAAAAAGCTTCCAGTTCCGGGAAGTCTGCAGGACAGGGCCTCTGGGGCACAGACCGGCCCCAGGCTGGGCACTGCCCACTCGCTCACCTGGAGACGTACTGCCGGATGCAGTCGAAGCTGGCCTGCGGCTTGTCCTTGCTGTAGCGGGACAGGTAGAAGGTGAAGAGGCGAGCTCCTTCCCCAGGGCTGCCCAGGGCACAGGGGATCTTGATGTACTGTCCAGAAGAGAGGGAGCGCATGGGACCATTTCCAGCACAGTGGGGCACTGCATTGTCCTTGCTCCTCTGCATCCTCCTCCTGCCCCACATCCCCATCCCTGCCTGGGGCTCGGCAGCTCTCTGCGGGCTCAGCTGCACACGCTCCAGGCTCTCCCAGGGAGGGGGACTGGGGGCTCCCCAGACCCCATGTTTACAGACGAAGGACCCCAGCAGCACTGCCCTCTAATTGTCTGGTTCAGGATCCCCCCAGGAGGCTACAGCCTGCTTTTAGCAGCAGCTCTCCAGGGGGCAGATCACCAGCAGAGGTTTAACCCTTACAATGCTGGACCATTTCCAGATTTGGGGAAGCCAATGGGAGACTTGAAATGGCTTTACTCCCAGCAGTGGGGTACATAGCCAGGGTGCTGGGGCTGGGTCTCTGAGTGGAAGAACAGAAGAGGGATTAGCAGAAGGGAGGTCTGGCGTCCTGGGCAGGGGACTGTTGGCCAAGCCAGGGGCTCTGTGCCCCAGCTCAGGTGGGGGGTGTACATGGGGCAGGCACCCCCAGACACACCCTGGGGGGGCTCTGCCCCAGCTCAGGTGGGGGGTGTACATGGGGCAGGCACCCCCAGACACACCCTGGGGGGGCTCTGCCCCAGCTCAGGTGCGGGGGTACATGGGGCCCCCAGACACACCCTGGGGGGGCTCTGCCCTAGCTCAGGTGGGGGGGGTACATGGGCCAGGCACCCCCAGACACACCGGCCCCAGCTCAGGCAGGGGGGTACATGGGGGGAGCCAGCGCTTTACCTCTTCTCATTCCAGCTGCCTCTGCTGAGCTCGCAGCCCAGCACCTGCCCCCCCGGCCCCCCTGTGAGGGAACTTTAATGTGTTTGCAAGCAAAGGCCAGAGGGACCCTTATCTGAGCTTCAGGCAGCAGCTCCCCGCAGGAATCCCCTGCAGAGCTAGTTAGCGAGTGGCGCAGCTGAGGTGCTGCAGCAGCCTGGAGCCAAAGGGGAGGGAGGCAAATCCCTGACCCCAGAGCCCCCAGAAAACAGCAGAGAAGAGACTCGGCCAGGCCCAGCACAGGGCGGGGCCCTGAGCTGCCAAGGAAGGCTGCGGCTGGCAAGAGCTCAACCACTCCGCCCCCACCCCCACCCCAGGGCTGCCGAGAGCCAGTCAGGCCTGGACAGGCCATGGCACCCCCCAGGCAGTGTCGTCGGCCCCTCCCCTGGCTACAGATCAAAAGGGCCCCTCTCCCCCGCAGCCTAGCTGCTCCCCAGCCTCTGAGGGGCCCCACGGTCCGTTGAGCAGCCCCGGCCCCACGGTCCTGGAAGGATGCTCACAGGGGATGGAGGTGGGGAAATCCCATGGGTCCCATCGACAGCTTCTGCTGCCGGGGCTAGAGACCAACCCCGCTCGCAGTGCCAAGGCCGTGTCCAGCTTTAGCTGTCCCAAGCAACAGAGCTCCCACCTGCCCAGGATGAGCGCTCAGCCCAGGACCCCCCAGCTGCACCCTGCCCCTCCCCCAGAGCAGGGCTTGGCTGGGCTCCCCCTTGCTGCTGAACTGCCCCATCGTCTCTCCTTCAGCACAGCTCAGCCCCCAGCCCCTGCCGGAGGCAAGGAAGCAGAGCAAGGAGGAACAAGCGCGGCCCTCACCCAAGCCCAGCCCAAGGGGTTGTGAGGGCAGCGCTGCTCCAAGGTCACTGCCCAGGGCGCTGGGCTGCGGGTCTGGGGACAGGCCCAGAACCGGCTGGGGCTAGCGGACCCAGACTGGAAAGCGGAGCGGAGACAGGCCTGTGGAAAGCCAGCGGGGGCTGGGCTGGCAGCCCTCTCACACTCACTCCGTGTTCGGGGAGCCCAGCAGCCCCCCTCAACCCCCCCAGTGAGTCTCACGCTCCCCGGGGAGCCCCGCCCCACTCACCCCCTGGCTCCCTTGGAAGGCGATGACAGGCCGGGCTGAGCCCTGCAAAGGGAACAAGAGGGACAATTAGCGGCTGCACCTGTCTAGACCCCCCCCACATCCAACAGCCCTGCCCCGGGGAGCACGGAGCCCGGCCCTGCATCGCACCGCCCGCGGGCTGCCCTGGCCGGGCGGCAGCAACAGGGAACCCACCAGGCCCCTCAGAGGCTGGTCTGTGGTCACCGACCCGCCTGCAAGAGCGGACCCCACCTCCAGCCTGCTGCCACCCCGGTCGGGGAGGGGTGGCTGGGGAGAGGGCGCTGACCCGGTCCCGCGGCGCGGGGGGGGGGGGCGCTGACCCGGTCCCGCGGCGCGGGGGGGGGGCGGGGGCGCTGACCCGGTCCCGCGGCGCTGGGGGGGGGGGGGCGCTGACCCGGTCCCGCGGCGCGGGGGGGGGGGGGCGGGGGCGCTGACCCGGTCCCGCGGCGCGGGGGCGGGGGGAGGGGGCGGGGGCGCTGACCCGGTCCCGCGGCGCGGGGGGGGCAGAGTACACAGGGGGGGCGCTGAACTGGCCCGGGGTGAGATGGGGGCCGCTGACCCGGACCCGGACCCGGCCCAGGTGAGGGGGCGCCGACCCACCCTCACCTGCAGCCGCTGACAGTCCCGCAGCGCCCGCAGCGCCGGGTCGGTGAGTTTCAGGTGCAGGAGGCTGAGGCAGGGCCCGCGGGAGCCGCCCCGGTACCGGAGCCGCCCGGACAGCTCCGCTCGCGGCCACGGCATGGCTGGGAGTGGGGCCGGGCTGGGCTGCGGCACCCCCCGACGCCCGGCGGGCCGAGGGGCGGAGCCTGGTCTGGCCTGGGCGGGGCCTGGGCGGAGCTGGGGCAGGGCCGGGCGGGGCGGGAGGGGCGTGGTGGGGCGGTGCGGGAGCTGGAGCGGGCCGGGAGGAGTGGGGCTGGGGCGGGATGGGGCGGTGCGGGAGCGGCCCGGGAGGAGTGGGGCGGGGCTGGGGCGGGAGGAGCGGGGCGGGGGCGGGGCGGGAGCGGGAGCAGGCCGGGAGGAGCGGGGCGGGGCTGGGGCGGGAGGGGCGTGGTGGGGCGTGTCTGGGGCGGGAGGAGCGTGGTGGGGCGGGGCGGGCCTGGAGCGGGGTAGCCGCCCGCCGGGGCTATTTTTGCGGCAGCCTGAGCAAATCCCCTAAGCGCATTAGCCGCGCCCCCGCGCTGTGCAGTCCCGGCCCGGGGGTGGGCTGCCCCCCCGCGCCCCTTTCATTGACGGCTGGGCCTGAGGGGCCGGGATCGGGACCCGGACACAGCCTCCGTGTCCGCAGGAGCCACCCGGGCCCCCCGCGGCCGGGCTCAGCGGGGCAGCGCCCCGGGTTGAGGGCAGCGCAGCCGGGCCCGAGGCTGCAGGGGGCTTAGGCTAATCCGCCCGGCGAGCGCAGGGGTGGCATTAGAGCCGGGGCAGGGCGTCGCTGCCCGGACTCCCCGCCGCCGCCTCTCCGGGTCGCCGGCTCGGCAGAGCCCCTGGGGAGCTGGGCTGCGAGTCTGCCGCGTGGCCGGCCTGGGGCGTGCGGAGGGGGCCCGCGGGAATGATCGGACCGCAGCCGAGCGCGCAGCCCCAGGGCCCCTCTCCCGGGGCCAAAGCCCAGGAGCCTCTGGAGGTGGCGAAGGAGGGAGGAGCGGCGGGCCAGCGGGCCAAGCAGCCCGCATCAGCTGGGCCAGCAGCGGCCCTGGAGCTGGAGGGGAGCCCTTGTCTGGGGAGGGTGGTCAGGTTCCTCCTGCCTCACACTGCAATTGAGGCCCCCCTGCCCCAGGAGGAGGAGCAGCAATTCTACCGGGGGCTGGAGCGCCTGCTGGGGCCAAAGCAAGGCTGCTTCGGGCAGCTGTTCGCCGCCGCTGGCTGGGCAGATGTCACAGGTGAGTCAGCAAGGCTGGGGGGCGGGAAGGCAGGAAGGGGTGACCGGAAAACAAGACCCCAGAGCCACTTCTGGGGAAGCTCCCATCTGCCCCCCACCCTCGCCACTGCACCCCCCAGTCTCTCTTGAGAGCAAGGCAGAGAGTTGACGGACTCCCGGAGCACCCACACTGGTGTTGTCAGTGCCACGTTTCGCTTGGCTGCCCCCCGACTGGCACTGGATTGCAGTGCATCATGGGGGCATGGCCCTGCTAGATGGTGGGTCTCTGGCCTGCCAGCTGGGCCTGGCACAGTGCCATTCGGCTGGCCAGTCCGGGGCAACATGGCATGGGTGAGCCCCCAGCATGGCATCTGCTGGGTGCACAGACACCCAGTGTTGAGCATGGGGCATTTTCAGCCCCTTCACAGCTGCTGGGCAGCGGGGGTGTGGCCCGAACTCCAGCAGCTGAGCTTCAGGGGCCCTGGGATGGTTTCCAGGCCACAACACTGCTGCCAAAGAAACATGCATTTAAAACCGTGTGGGCCGGAGGGTCGGGCATGGGGCTGGGACTCGGGAGAGCTGGGTTCTAGTCCTGGCTAAGCCACTGAGCTGCTGGGTGCCCTTGGGCAAGTCGCTTCCCCTCTCCTGGCCTGTCTCTCCTCACAGCCTGGCTCTGTCTGGAGTAAAGAGCCTGTGGACTCTGTGGGCAGGGCCCATCTCTCCCGCTGTCTGTGCAGCGCCTGGCCCTGTGGGGCACCGATCTCGATGCTACTGTAATACACATAATAAAGCACAACTGCCCTGAGGGAAGTGCAGTCACCTCCTTGAGGTCCCCCCATGCTGCAAAGCCAGGAGCGGAAGCACTAAAACAAGGGGTCTAATATGAAGGAGCCCCCTAAGGGGAGGGGGAGGCGGAGCGAGAGCGAGGAGTGCCCCTGGCTGGAGAGGGAAGAAGGGGTCCCTCTCTGCCCAGGTGAGTCCCACAGGTCCTGGGGCAGGGGCTCCTGCTCCCTGGGCTGATTCCCCTCTCCCTGTTTGCTTCCCCCAGAGGACAGATTCCTGAGGAAGTTGCTGGTGAGAGAAGGCCAAGGAGAGGCCAGCAGGCCCCAGCCAGGCCAGGAGGTGACTGTGAAGCTGCTGGGGGTTCTGGAGGATGGTAGCCTGGTGGAGAAGGACCCGATGCTGACTTTCACCCTGGAGCAGGGGGACGTCATACAGGTCTGGTCTCCTCCTGCACCCTAAGGACAGAGTCACCATCAAGGCTGGATGGTTTGGTGCCCCTGAAGGTTGGCATTTGCCAGCTTTGAAATGCCCGACTCCAGCCACAGGCATCAGTGGTCACGTTCTAATCTCCTCTTGCTGTTGCAAAGACATCAGCTGTGTGAAACCTACACAACACATGTGTGCGCCTCCTGCTGGCTTTGCAAGGCAGTAACAAAACCTCTTCCAGGCTGTGCTGGGGCATAAACAGGGAGGCAAATGAAATCCTGGTGTCAATTCCCAGCTCCTGGGTTCAGCCCAGGGGAAGGGCTGACTGGCTGGAAAGCTGCCCAGGGGGCCAGTCCAGCCAACGAGAATCACAGATCAACAGGGTAACAAGGGACCATCTGCAAGAGTCATCCAGTTGAACCCGCTGCCAAGTGCAGGATTTGTTACGTCTAAAATCATTCCTGGGCCCTTCCAGTCCCTGAGCTCAGCACGTCCACAGTGTAACTCAGACATTTATGGTGCATGCCTAAGTGTCATCTGAAGTAGCAGCCAACTGCAGGCTCTAGAATTCTATTAAAACACCCACATGTGCACACATCTGCAATGGGTCCCAGTCAGTATTCACCTATATTCAGTTCCTGGAGAACCTGGGAAGGGGGGAGTGAGACGGCTGTGGGGTTGCACAGGATCCAGCCTCACACAGTGGCTTGCAGGCCCCACCAAGGCCCTGTTTTTATGATCACTTGCTAAAAGCTGACTGTGCAGGGATCAAAATGGAGCCAGTCCCTGCCCCACACAGATGCAAGATGTACTGGGATGACTGTCCCTCAGTCACCTTCCACAGAAGTACAAGGGGGTGGTTTCCCTTGGCTTCTTAGATGAAAGACCCTTAACTAAGCAGCTTTTTCACTTATATTCAGTTCCTAGAGACTCCAACCCTGTTAGCTGAAGGACCTGTCTTTCTCAGCTTGCAGAGTGCTATCCCCTTGTGTCTGGCCAGTGATGGATGCCAAGATGGCTTCTTTTCTCTCTCCAGACTCACTGTTTTGTCCCGAGACTCAGACGACCCCAGGCTGGTCTTCCCTGCTGTGTACTTCCCATCCCATTGAGCCATATATAACTGGGGCTTCCATTGGTTTTGGTCACACCTTGTTTGATGTCATTGGGAGACAGGCTGTTTTCCCTTTGTTTGGTCACAGACTATAAAGCAGAATATCAGTGAGTGTCCACAGTTCCTCAAACAGTGTTAGTAGAGATACCTTACAAAGATGGTAATCACCAGTGTGTCATCAGCTTTCATATTCGATACACGTGTATAACACAATCCACTGATTCAACTACTTACACCCTGGCTGTAAACCACTGACATGCATTCTCAGATGTCAGGCTGGTTCCTCCCCGGCCCGCTGGTGATAGTTGACTTCTTACCACCCCCCTAGTAGCCAGATGGCTCTGTTTACCTTTGATTGTACATGCACGTTCATCCTCCCTGCCTGACGCCAAGGCTGGTCAGCCAAGCAAATACCTTGCAGTGTCTAGGTCAGACTGGGCCTGTGCATGGCTGAGAACATAAGTCTCGCACATACGTAACTGTTCATACATCCCCCAGACAGACATCACACGAGAATATTCATGAGCAGTAAGTTATTCGTTTCCCAGTGATAACTCACATGCCACCTTTGGGGATCTATCATGACAAACATGTGAGGTGTAGTGACAAGATTTGCTGCCAGACCCACCCAGGGGTCTCTGGCTTACACCCTGCTTGCACACCTATCCTGCGGCATTGCTGCTCCCACCCCTCACCCTGCTTGTGGCTCAGCCAACACCTCGAAAACTGTGAGGACAGGTACAGAAAAAGATTCTTGCCAAGAAGCCCCTCTGGGTCCGGCTAGAATCAACACTCCTGGGGCAAGGTGGGGGCGGGGGGAAGTAGTTGAGATTTCCCATCCCATCCTGACCCCAGGGTTCCTCAGAGGAGAGACACTCCCAGTTTCACATCTCCTCTGCCCAGAGCGAGACCCCAGGTCAGGGGGAAGAGAACCACAACCACCCCAAGCCCTGCTATTGATGCAAGGTCCAGCAACTCAGCGGCAATTCAGAACCTGATCTGACCCCTCTCTACCATACCCCCTCACTGTTCCACCCCATATCTGCAGCAGGAAGGGAACAGATGCCACAAAAATGGGGCCCTGTGGGGCAGATTCCTCCCCTGACTTTGGCATTCAGCAGCGACAGGGAGAGGAGTAGAGACCCTACTCCCACTCCCTAGAGAACGCCCAGCACCAGGAGCCAGCCACCTCCCTCCAATGCCAGGGGGCAGATGGTGGAGCTCAGCATAGGCACTGCTGAGCTCCAACTTCTCTGCAGCATGCCATGTCAAACATGCTGGGCCAAGGGGAGCCTCCATGCAGTGCAGTGGGTGCAAGTCTTGGGGCAGGAATAAACCACTTTGTCCCCCTCTCGACAGGCCCTGGAGCTCGGTGTCCAGTCCATGCAGCTAGGAGAGGTGTCTTTCCTTCTCACCAGCTTCCAGTATGCATATGGTCACCTGGGCAGGTAGGCTGGACTTGATCCTTTCCCTGCTCTAGGCTTAGAGCAGCGAGGTGCTGCCCACCTCTCACTGTTCCTTTGGCAAAAGGAACAGAGTAATCCCGGCCCTGGTTGCCTGAAGGGGTCCTCTCGTCCTGGCCCAGCTGTCCCTAGTAAAATCACAGCTACCTGCACTGTTTGTGATTCTGGGGTTCCAGAAGCCAAGGGGCTCTGCACCCTGACTCCCAGAGTGCAGGAGCCCAGGGACGGGAGTACTGGGGAAAGGCAAAAATCTCACTTCCTCCCTCCAGGGACCCTGATATCCCATCGGATGCCTCATTACTGTATGAGGTGACCCTGCTACAGATCCGGGACAGCCCTGATCTGGGGCTCCTGCCACCCTCCACACGAATCAGCCTCAGCAAGCAGAAGAGGGAGCGAGGGAACTTCCATTTTGAGCGGGAGGAGTACCAGTGGGCTATGCAATCCTACCAGCTGGCCCTGGGCATCCTGGACTCACCTGGTGCAGGTAAAATAAGAGGCCACCTGGGCTCAGGGCACGAGTTGAGTGGAGGGGAGTCTGGGGGCTTCACCCTAAGAGGATCTGGGATTAGCAGGGAGAGAGTCAGAGATAAGAGGCTGGCACAGGACTGGGGTTGCACATTCTCCTCTCCCTAGCAGCTCTGAGTGAGCTGCAGAGCGCTCGTCTCCCAGCTGGCTTTGACCACCTTGTTGTTGGGCTCATTCCCAGTCCCTCCAAGCCCCGAGGAGGAAGAGGAGCTGCAAGAGCATCAAGTGAAATGTCTTAATAACTGTGCAGCTGCCCAGTTGAAGCTGCAGCTGTTTGAGGAGGTGTTGGCATCATGCAGTGCAGTACTGCACATCGACCCTGACAACGTGAAGGCTCTCTACAGGAAAGGAAAGGTACAGCCCAGCACTCGCACCAAGGGAACCCAGGAGTCTGGGGCATGGCCTGGGAGACGAGGGAAAAGGCTGGTAGGAGATGGAGGGGAGGGAGAAGACTAGAAGCACTGGATCTGCAGGTTCCAGGAAGAGATCTCACCAGTCAGGCCCTCTTTCTCCAACTTCTCGGAGTCTGGGTTGGAGACCCTTACACCAGTGGTTCTCAAACTTTTGTACTGGTGACCCCTTACACAAAGCAAGCCTCTGAATGTGACCCACCTTATGAATTAAAAACACTTTTTTATGTTTAACACTGTTATAAATGCAGGAGGCGATGCAGGCCTTGGCGGTGGAGGCTGACCGCTCACGACTGACTGAGGGGTCACAAACCCCTGCCTTACACCAAAGGGACTGTATGAGAAAGCAAGGTCAGAGTTAGAGAGAAGGGGACAGGGGGAGAATAGGCAGCAGGAGAGAAGGAAAACAAGCAAAGAGGAAAGTACTAGGAGTTAGTAACCAAATAGCTTTTCCTCTGGGTGTATCTGAAGCTCTCTCCATGTCCCTACACTCCTGCTCTCTCTCTGTGAGCCCTTCCCCCTTATCACTGTGTCCCATCCCCCACAGCTCTATGCCTCCTGATCTGTCTTCCTTCTTTTCTTTACTGTCTCCTCCGTCTCGCAGCTGCTGTCAGAAAGAGGAGAGGACCAGGAAGCCATGAAAATCCTAAAGAGAGCCCTGCAGCTTGAGCCCACCACGAAGGTAAAGAGCAGAGCAAGGGCCCCCCTCCAGGGGCTAGTTCCTGAATTATCCACTCGCACTGGAGCGGGTGGGTAGCGAGGCGCCGTCCCTCCTGGCTCCAAGGGGAGGCTTACCTTGCACAGTAGGCAAGCAGCACATTTACAGGGGTGGCCAATATCCTGCTTATTTCACGCAAAGATCCCAAAGTGCTTTAGCCAGGCACTCATAGAATCATAGAATATAAGGGTTGGAAGGGACCCCAGAAGGTCATCTAGTCCAACCCCCTGCTCGAAGCAGGACCAATTCCCAGTTAAATCATCCCAGCCAGGGCTTTGTCAAGCCTGACCTTAAAAACCTCTAAGGAAGGAGATTCTACCACCTCCCTGGGTAACGCATTCCAGTGTTTCACCACCCTCTTAGTGAAAAAGTTTTTCCTAATATCCAATCTAAACCTCCCCCACTGCAACTTGAGACCATTACTCCTCGTTCTGTCATCTGATACCATTGAGAACAGTCTAGAGCCATCCTCTCTGGAACCCCCTTTCAGGTAGTTGAAAGCAGCTATCAAATCCCCCCTCATTCTTCTCTTCTGCAGGCTAAACAATCCCAGCTCCCTCAGCCTCTCCTCATAACTCATGTGTTCCAGACCCCTAATCTTTTTTGTTGCCCTTCGCTGGACTCTCTCCAATTTATCCACATCCTTCTTGAAGTGTGGGGCCCAAAACTGGACACAGTACTCCAGATGAGGCCTCACCAATGTCGAATAGAGGGGAACGATCATGTCCCTCGATCTGCTCGCTATGCCCCTACTTATACATCCCAAAATGCCATTGGCCTTCTTGGCAACAAGGGCACACTGCTGACTCATATCCAGCTTCTCGTCCACTGTCACCCCTAGGTCCTTTTCTGCAGAATTGCTGCCTAGCCATTCGGTCCCTAGTCTGTAGCTGTGCATTGGGTTCTTCCGTCCTAAGTGCAGGACCCTGCACTTATCCTTATTGAACCTCATCAGATTTCTTTTGGCCCAATCCTCCAATTTGTCTAGGTCCTTCTGTATCCTATTCTAGGTCCTTCTGTATCCTATGTTCCTATCCTATCCTATCCTGTATCCTATCCTCAGTGTTGTTCCCCCCATGTTACAGGCCCAGGGGGCAGTGACCTACCCAAGGTCATACGGGTCTCTGGCAGAACAGGAAATAGAGGCCAGGAGCCCTGACTAACCAGGAGTGAACTCAAGTAGACTTCCTACTGAAGCTGCTGCCATATAAAAGGGTGGGGAGGCAGGAGGAATGACAGTCGCAGGACAGAAAGAACTCTCTTCATGCTCCAGAAGGAAGCAGGTGGAGTGCTCCAGGGTTAATGACCTGCTGTCCTCTCTTGGTCTCTTCCAGGCAATTCATGCTGAGCTCTCAAAGCTAGCGAAGCGTCAGAAAGGGCAGGCGGAACGCCCTGCCCCCACAGACGTGGGCGACCTGGTGCAGCCGGCAGCGTGCCAGAGCAGATGGGTACATTGGCTTGGTCCGGCCCAACCGGGACACTGGTGCTGCTCCGGAACCAGAACTCTGCCTCCCCATTACTGTCCCTGGTCGCAGTTATGCCTGTGTCTGCGTCCAAAGCCTGATCACCTAGGGCCCTGCCTTGTTAACCTGGACCTGCCCAACCTGCCTGCCTAGCTGGAACTCCTGGCCCAAGGCCCTGAGTTTTATCAAAGAGGGATTCATTCCCAGCTGGAAGGCTCAGGTAGAGGCTATGTCACCTCTTCGTGGGTGAAGACACTTCTCCTGTTGCCCACGAACAGGAGAGCATGGTCTACACACGGGGCCGCCTGCTGGTTTAGTGTATGTGAGCAGAAAGCTGGCGGGTGGATGCTAGCACTGCGGAAAGGAGCCATGAGGCTCTTATAGTTCCCCATGTTCTCCCAGGGGCTGATGCTGATGGTGCAGAACCCAGGTCTTCATTGTTAGGGGACTGGGAGGGAGGTGGTGTCTGATCAGGCGGCAAGAGGCCAGGGCCTGGGTAGAGGAACCCAGGACGTCCCTGCTCTACCAGGTTCCAACTCAGGGCACTTCAAATGATAGTTTAAAAATGTGTGGCGTACACCTACTCCCTGGGCCACTTCCTCTCCTGGCTTCGGTTCCTCTGCTGGTGCCATCTTACGTCCTCCCTGGAGTCCTCTCAGGTCCCTGCTGGAGAGTTTTCCTCTCTCCATCGTGGCTCAGCAATGCCATCCGCTGCGGTGGCTTGGCAGCAGGGCCTGGGCCCGGCCACCCGGGCCCCAGCAGCTTCTCGGCAGGAGCCTGCAACACACAACTGCCCCCCAGAATGAGCTGAGCTGTCCCCTTTGAGCTCAGCCTTCACCGAGAGCATACCCAGCAGGGGCCGCTGGGCCGAACTTTCTGGGCCCAGGGCTGCTCCTTACCCCTTCCCTCACCAGTGTGGGGCTTGCACATCCCATCACACCCATTCACAAGGTCCCTGCCTAGCTAGGGCCCATGCAGAGATACTCCCAGCCCCATCTGGCATTGTGCAGGGATGGGCTGGAAGGCTGCAGAGGCTCCATTTGGGCATGAGAAGAACTGCCCCTAACCCAGTAATGAAACCCAGAAACTAAGGCAGGAACAAGCAGCCTGGCTGCCAGTCGGGTTAGGGGGAGAGGGGCGAGGGAGGTGAATCAGAGCATTCCTTGGCCCACCCCTGTCATCTCAAAGCTCTTGACACACAATAACAACCTTAGCTGCACCCTCTCCCCACAAGGCAGGTCAGCATCACTGTCCCTGAATCACAAGTAGCAAGACCACAGGCCAGTCAGATGACCTGTGGAGTCAGAAATGGAAAGAGAACCTCCATCCCTTAGGTACAGGGGCTGCGTTCTCCTCCCAAGGCAACGGGCTTGGTGACCCCTGCCCATGGCCAGCCTGCACACGGCGTGGCCCCGGGCTGCCTTGTGGGGATCTCGCAATGCAGGTGGCTGTTGTGAAGCTCATTCGCTCCATCTCTCTCTTCTCCTCTTGCAGATGGACCCCAATGACCCACAGCCGTTTAAGGACACTAGCTGAGTTGCCTCCTGTCTTTTCCAGGTCACCCCCTGGAAGCTGCTTTTTGGTGCTGTGGCTGTGGCTCTGGGCAGCATGGTGACCTCCATCTTCCTGACAACACGGAGCTGAGACTAGCCAAGGACACCAGAGATGCAGGGGGTTTACAGCCCCTCCACCGGCAAAGGGGGGGGCCAGGGAGATATGATCCTGTTGGCTCCTCCTGTGCGAGCCCTGGGTTGTCAGGCACAGAACGCAGACCATGTTCTCAGTGAAGCCAGGGTCACCAGCTGACAGGACTTAGCAGTGACCTTTGTGTCTTTGTAAATAAACGTAGCTGTTGTTTAGCCAGAGCCCTGCAGCCAGGCCTGATCTCAGCGCGGGGGATTGGGGTGTGCAGAGGGCTCACGGGACCTGCTCTCCGGCTGCTGCCTTGCTGACAGGCCCCAGACACTGGGCAGCACAGAGCTGGGAAGGAATGGGCCCTTCCAGCTGAGGGAGTGAATACTGAACCCCAGCCCTGAGTGCCTGGACCTCATCCCTGCCCCCAACAGAGCACCCCCACAGAGCGCCTGGACCTCACCCCCAACACCGCACCCCCTCAGAGCTCCTGGATCTCACTCCCCCCCAACACAGCACCCTCCCCAGAGCACCTAGATATCACTCCCCCCAACACAGCACCCTCCTCAGAGTTCCTGGACCACACCCCCCCAACACAGCACCCCCCCCAAACACGTGGACTTCACCCCCCCAACACAGTCCCCCTCCCCAAGCACCTGGACCTCACCCCCCCGCCACAGCACCCCCCCTCAGAGCGTCTGGACCTCACTCCCCCCCAACACAGCACCCCCCCCCCTCAGAGCGCCTGGATCTCACTCCCCCCCGCTACAGCACCCCCCCTCAGAGTGCCTGGACCTCACCCCCCCCAACCCAGCACCCCCCCTCAGAGCGCCTGGATCTCACTCCCCCCCCAACACAGCACCCCCCTCAGAGCACCTGGACCTCACCCCCCAACCCAGCACCCCCCCCTCAGAGCGCCTGGATCTCACTCCCCCCAACACAGCACCCCCCCCCCTCAGAGCGCCTGGATCTCACTCCCCCCAACACAGCACCCCCCCCCTCAGAGCGCCTGGATCTCACCCCCCCCAACCCAGCACCCCCCCCCTCAGAGCGCCTGGATCTCACTCCCCCCAACACAGCACCCCCCCTCAGAGCACCTGGACCTCACCCCCCCCCAACCCAGCACCCCCCCCCTCAGAGCGCCTGGACCTCACTCCCCCCAACCCAGCACCCCCCCCCCTCAGAGCGCCTGGATCTCACTCCCCCCAACCCAGCACCCCCCCCCCTCAGAGCGCCTGGATCTCACCCCCCCCCGCCACAGCACCCCCCCTCAGAGTTCCTGGATCACACACCCCCCCAACCCAGCACCCCCCCCCCTCAGAGCGCCTGGATCTCACCCCCGCCACAGCACCCCCCCTCAGAGTTCCTGGATCACACACCCCCCCCAACCCAGCACCCCCCTCAGAAAGCCTGGAGCCCCCCCCTTCCTGCAGCCAATCACAAGCCGGTCACAAGTCTGCCCCTCACTGCGTTGAGCCAATGAGGAGCCTCCAGTGGGCGGGGTCTATGTGGCGGTTGGGCCGCTTGGGGCCTCGCTGACGCGATCTCCGGGCCAATGAGGAGCGGCCCTGGGGGGGACCCGGGACGTGGCCGCCGAGCGGACGCAGCCGAGCGGAGCCATGACCCGTAGGTGCCGGGCGGCCCCGGCGGGGCGGGGCCGGGCCGGGCCGGGCCGGGCCGGGCCGGGCGGGAGAGCAGGGGGCTGCCTAGTGCGGGGGGAGGGGGGGGGGGGGGGGGGGGGGGAGCCTGGGGGGTTATGTGGGGAGCAGGGGGGGGGGCTGCCCAGGGCTCTCTGGGGGGAGTCTGCGGGGAGGGGGGGGGAGGGTTCTGGGGAGCCCGGGGGGTTATGTGGGGAGCAGGGGGATGTGGGGTGGGGCTGCCCAGGGCTCTCTGGGGGGGGGGGGGGGAGTCTGTGCAGGGGGAAGGTTCTGGGGAGCCCGGGGGGTGGGGAGGGGGGGGGTTATGTGGGGAGCAGGGGGATGCGGGGTGGGGCTGCCCAGGGCTCTCTGGGGGAGGGGGGGGAGGGGGAGTCTGTGCAGGGGGAAGGTTCTGGGGAGCCTGGGGGGTTATGTGGGGAACAGGGGGATGTGGGGCGGGGCTGCCCAGGGCTCTCTGGGGGGAGGGGGAGAGTCTGCGGGGGGGAGGGTTCTGGGGAGCCTGGGGGGTTATGTGGGGAGCAGGGGGATGTGGGGCAGGGCTGCCCAGGTCTCTGCCTGGGGGCAGTCTGCGGGGGGGAGGTTTCTGGGGAGCCCGGGGGGTTATGTGGGGAGCAGGGGGATGCGGGGTGGGGCTGCCCAGGGCTCTCTGGGGGGAGGGGGGGAGTCTGTGCAGGGGGAAGGTTCTGGGGAGCCTGGGGGGTTATGTGGGGAACAGGGGGATGTGGGGCGGGGCTGCCCAGGGCTCTCTGGGGGAGGGGGGAGAGTCTGGGGGGGGGGAGGGTTCTGGGGAGCCTGGGGGGTTATGTGGGGAGCAGGGGGATGTGGGGCAGGGCTGCCCAGGTCTCTGCCTGGGGGCAGTCTGCGGGGGGGAGGTTTCTGGGGAGCCCGGGGGGTTATGTAGGGAGCAGGGGTGTGGGAGTAGGCAGCCCTACTTGTGAGAGCCAGAGGCTGTGGGGTCAAGGGGTCACCCTCTCAGTGCTGGCTGAAAGGTTGCGTGAATGGCCTGGGTTTTGCATCCAGGCTTGTTGGAAGCAGCGCCCGTCCTGGTGCCAGGATACCCGAGAGCTCCCTCTGCTAGCGGGCTGGCAACGCCATTGTCAGAGCTCAGTAGGGCTTCTAGGTGGAGCTCTTCTCGCACTTGCCCAAGTGACTGTTCTCCGCACACCTCCTCCAGCGGCTGCTGCCTTGGCTGTTTAATTAACCGGGCTCTTCAGGGCACACACCCAGCTGCCCCACCCTGAGTCAGGCTCCTTAACCCTGCACACAGCCCTTCCCTGGGGCTCCACGGGGACCGCCCGCTTTGAGAGTGCAGTGCTGCTGCCCCTTGGATACTGACCAGTTTGTTCTTCAAGACAGGTGGTCGGGCGACCATTCTCTGTGAGCCAATGGCTGTGCCAGTCACCCAGCCTGAGCGCTGGCACCAGGGGAACTCCAAGTAACCTCTCATCTCAGGCTTGTGTTCCTTGCTTCCAGAAGTACCTCAGACAGGAGGGCAGCTGATGTCCAGTGGGGCTGGGTCGTGGGGCCTTATCTCATCCAGGGTGCAGCGAGTCAGTCTTCTGCTGGTGTCGTTGCAGGCGGGAACCAGCGTGAACTGGCCCGTCAGAAGAACATGAAGAAGCAGACTGACTCGGGCAAGGGGAAGCGGCGCGATGACGGCCTGTCGGCTGCTGCCCGGAAGCAGAGGTAACTGTCCATGATGAGAGGAAGAGGCAAGAGGCTGGCTTTTTCTCTCCCCCTCCTGGCCTGTGACTCTGGTACACAGCATCTGACTTAACCAGGCCCTAGGTTCCTGATTGGGGCTGCAACCCCATGCTCCCTGCAGCAACTCCACCTGCCAGAGCTGCTTCTGGAGGGCTCCTACGAAGCAGGGTCTTGGCTCCCTTCTAACAGTGAGGTTCATGCTCAATGGGCCCTGGGCTCCTGCATGCTGTGTCAGTCCATGGTCTAGCCATGGAAGTACCATCCTCTGCCGGGAACCAGGCTTAGCATGGGGGGTCATAGCCCAGCATTCTCACTTGCAATGTGTATAGAGCTGGGCCCTGGGCAGAACATCAGCTTTCTCTGAAATAACGGTGAATAAGTGTCCTGCCTCCCTGTCTTCTCATTTCCCCTCCTTCCTGCAGTGTCTTCCCTTCTCTGGGATGATGTCTCTTTCATCAGTCAGATTTCTCTGGCATGCTCAGTAACTTGCTCTTCCTGTCCTCCAGCAGCATGTACCCACCCCACCACCTATGTTCCCCAGCAGAGGCTTTTGTCCTGTGTTTCTTCTTACTGCTTTGAGAAGGCCCTGTTGTATCCCCACCTCCCTCAACTAATTGCATCCTGCCCCCCCCATCCATCCACCCAAGGTTTCCAAATTCAGTTCTCCTGAATCTGCAGTTTGGGGGCCCTGGATCTGCCACTCCTGCTCTGGCCAGTAGCTCCCTCGTGCTGAAATCCTCTGCCTCCAGAAACTACTACTTTTGCTATCAGAAAACCTGAGATGCTCTCCCTGCTCCCTCCTGGCCCACCCACTAACAGGCTCCTTTTCTCCCAATAGAGACTCTGAGATAATGCAGCAGAAGCAGAAAAAGGCCAGTGAGAAGAAGGAGCAACCAAAATAATGTGTGGGGAACTTGGTCTGTCGCAGGAGAAGTGAGGCAGCATCCCTGCCGTTCACCTTTGTGCTTGCCCTGCCCTCATCTCCAGCCCACCACAGTCTCCTGGCCCTCTTGCTTGTAGAATGCAAAGCGTGTAGCCCTGCCGGGATTGTCTGCCCCGATGTATGTTCTCCCCACTCTCTACAATGTGCAGCCAGTGTTGGCCCAGAGGGGCTGGCCTGTGGCTGCATAGCCAAGCAGCTGCAGGAGCCCCTCACCCTTCTTAGTCACATCAGACCCACTTCTATGTATTAAAGTAGCTTTTGGATTCCTCAGGGGTGCTGGATTATTGGTAGGTGTTCGTGGCCCCGCAGAGCCTTCCCCCTTGACGTGCCATTCCCTCCCTGCTCCTGCCACTGAGGGGTTGGGTTGGGAGCTGCTTGCCATATTCAGAGGAGTCTGGAAGGGCTCAAGCCCTCCCAAGCTGAAAGCATGGCCCTGGACCTAGCTAGCGTCAAGGCAGGGCTTAGGGGAATCTATGACAGGAGGGGCAGGGGAAGCCACAGGCTGAATCCTTAAAGGCCAATGCACTGGCAGTGCCAGGGGTGACCCCACTCTCTCCTCTGCCTCCCCTAGAGCTGTCAACAGGCAGCGATGGTGTTTCTCTGGCACCCAGTGGTCAAAGCTGGGTCCCAGCCCCAGAGAAATGGGGGAGGCAGTGGTGGAGCCAGGGGAGAGGGTGCAGGGCAGGCTTGATTTATTTATTTGGGGGTTGGGGGGGGGGAGATTTATGTGCCTGAGAGGCAGCAGGCTCAGACCACCTCTCCCCTTGCTGGCTGCTTCCCTGGGCATGGAGCCCACCATGCCAAGCTGTAGGCTAGGCTATCCTTTGAGCAGATGTAGCCTGACCCTAGCCTTCTGGGGTGGAGCAAGCTGGCTGGTGCCAGGTGCTCATGGAGGAGGCAGCACCACATCCTGGGTCATGCATGAGCAGGGAAGCAACAGTTTAGGTCCTATTGCCCCAAGCACTCAATGGCAGGGGGACCCAGGGAAAAGAAAGGAGCCCTATGGGGGGTGAGCTGAACTGAGAGCCCTGCATCACTCCCAGAGGGAGGGGACAGTCTCCACCCAGCCAGAGGGAGATTACAAAAAAAGTTTGTTAAAGACTGCCCCAGGAGAGGCCAGAACAAGCCTGATGACCATTTCTCTCCTCCCCTGTACTGTAAGGCAAAGCAGCTGCTAAAATATCAAGGCAACCCAACCAGAGCCCTGCAGCCAGCAAAGGGTTAAACATGGAGAGGGGTCTGCCTGGGGCAGCAGAATGATGTCCCACTCCAACTCAAGATCTCAGAGCCAAATGGGGAGGTAATGGTCCAATAAGAACTAACTTTTGGGGGTGAGTGTCAAGCTTTTGAGCCAGCTCTTCCTCCAGTCCCTGTGGCGCTCAAAAGCTTATCACTCTTACCCCCAGAAGTCGGTCCAAGAAGAGATTTAATAATTTTATTAAGATGACGTTGAAGTAAAAAGAAAACAGTACAGAGTTTAAGCATAGAAGTTTCTGGTTATCAGGGAATAAGGTACAGATTATCAAGGGCTGCGAAATTCAGTTTAGGAACGGGTGACGTAAGGAATACATAATCTGCAATCTCCCCGATTGGGGGTAAAAGGTTAACGGGTCAAAGTACAGACATTGAGCTATGGGGGTATGTTGTCAATATAATGGCTATGTTCAGGTGTGGAGTATAATGAGTAGATACGATGATGAGGATGGATTTCCCCTCATTTGGTGGGATTTAATGTTCAGTGAGTTTATGGTTCCAGTTCATACGGTCCAATGGAAAAAGTCTCTTAGTCCCTTTCCCGTAGTGGATGCACGATGTCGTACTAGTTCACCCCTCCTGGTACTGTTGGTGGCCGGTGATGTGTTCGATGTAGATGTCCCTGGACCATCGGATGGTGTCCGAGACCATGAGGCGCCACATGAGCTGTGCGTAGCGTCGACCGATCCCACGAGTCCGCAGCACGTGCTCATTGCAGGGCTCCCAAGCGCCCAAGGCTCCGACAGTCAGGGAGTCCATCTGCACCTCTGGCACCTTAGAGACTAACCAATTTATTTGCGCATAAGCTTTCGTGAGCTACAGCATCTGATGAAGTGAGCTGTAGCTCACAAAAGCTCATGCTCAAATAAATTGGTTAGTCTCTAAGGTGCCACAAGTACTCCTTTTCTTTTTGCGAATACAGACTAACACGGCTGTTACTCTGAAACCTGTCATCTGCACCTCGTAGCCCTTTGCTCTCAGGGTGTCAGCCAGGGGGGCATATTATTATTTCCCTCCCTTGTCTCTACTATCCTGGGACATAGTGACAGCGATACCTACATTAAACTCAGAATACAGTTCCCAGAGCTGCTCCACGCAGGAACAAACCATGCCCTGCATGCCCAGGCTTTCGAGCATGGTAAGTACCGAAGGTGCCTGCTTTCTGCCCCAGGGTGGTCTCAGCTTGCAGCCAGGGCCCTAGGCCCGCCCCACTCCATGGGGTGTCTTGCCCAAGCGACAGCAGGGCACCATCTGCCTCTTTTGGTTGAAGGAGCCACAGGCTCAACCCTTCTCTTCTGCACTAGGTCCCACAGCAGCTAGAGTGAGGTGCCTGCCTGGCAGGGGCACTCAGGTCAGTTAGGGTTCCACTAGCATCTTCACTTGGCTCCATGGTCGTCTTCACCACCCTGCAGAGCCAAGGGGCACAAATGTTACCAGCATGCAGCCTCCTGCCCCCCGCGCTGGAAGCGGGGCCCTGTGAACAAACCCTCATCTCCCAAGCACCTCCCAGCAGGGGCAAAAGGACATTCCCCCCAGAGGGAGGGGGGTGGTGCACATTTAACTCTTCCCCCTGGGCTGAGTGTGGCTGGGCCTCTGGGTGGCAAGCAAGGTGCTCTTCTGCAGCCAACAGTCTCCCACCCCAAAGGCCCAGGGAAGGGGCTGCACCCACTCCTAGTGCTGGGCTCTCTCCTCCCGGGTGCAGCACAGCTTCCACCACATTGGTGCCATCCTTGGCGCTGGTCTCGCAGAACAGTGAGTTGTAGGCCTGAGAATACAGGAAAGAAATGGTTACTTGCCGTAACTGTGGCTCTTTGAGATGTGCCGGAGATGGGAATTCCACTGAGGTGTGTGCGTGCCCAGCATGCTGGAGCCTTTTGCTGAGCAGTAGGTGTAGAGGGGTGGTGCGCATGGCTGTGAACGCTCCATTGGCTATCTGAGGCAGTGCCGTCCCAACCCCCCTCAGTTCCTTCTCACTGAAAGCCCATGAGAGAAGACTCTGCTGCAGAGGGGATGGAAGGTTGGTTGTGGAATACAGCTGCATCCCATCGTGAAGAACCAATTACAGTAAGTAGCCGCTTCTTCTTTGAGCGGATACAGACACATATTCCACTTTGGTGACTCACAAGCAGTACCCCAGTCTGGAGGTGGGGCTTGGAGTCTATTGAAATGCGGATCACAAGGCTGCCCTTGAGGCCTGTGTCCGCTCTGGAAGATGCGGTAATCGCATAATGGTCCGTAAACGTATGTATGGATGACCGGCAAATGTCCAGTATGGAACAGTCACTGAGGAATGCTACTGCGCCCTCATGGAGTGAGCCCATATCGGCTGAGGAGGCGCAGCCAAAGATATTTCATACACAGTCTTGATACAGGATGAAACAGAGAGAACACTCGTTGGATAAATGTGGTCACATTACCTTGTTTGTCCCGGGAGCATTGAGTGTAAGGCGGCTCAGCCATCAGGGCCTGCAACTCTTGCAGCCTTCTTGCAGATGTGATGGCTATCAGGAATGGGGTTTTCTGAGACAGGAGAGGAGGGGCACCATAGAATATCAGGGTTGGAAGGGACCTCAGGAGGTCATCTAGTCCAACCCCCTGCTCAAAGCAAGACCAATCCCCAACTAAATCATCCCAGTCAGGGCTTTGTCAAGCCTGACCTTAAAAACTTTTAAGGAAGAAGATTCCACCACCTCCCTAGGTAACGCATTCCAATGTTTCACCACCCTCCTAGTGAAAAAGTTTTTCCTAATATCCAACCTAAATCTTCCCCACTGCAACTTCAGACCATTACTCCTTGTTCTGTCATCTGCTACCACTGAGAACAGTCTAGAGCCATCCTCTTTGGAACCCCCTTTCAGGTAGTTGAAAGCAGCTATCAAATCCCCCCTCATTCTTCTCTTCCGCAGACTAAACATCCCCAGTTCCCTCAGCCTCTCCTCATAAGTCATGTGTTCCAGTCCCCTAATCATTTTTGTTGCCCTCCGCTGGACTCTTTCCAATTTTTCCACATCCTTCTTGTAGCGTGGGGCCCAAAACTGGACCCAGTACTCCAGATGAGGCCTCACCAGTGTCGAATAGAGGGGGACGATCACGTCCCTCGATCTGCTGGCAATGCCCCTACTAATGCATCCCAAAATGCCACTGGCCTTCTTGGCAACAAGGGCACACTGCTGACTCATATCCAGCTTCTCATCCACTGTAACCCCTAGGTCCTTTTCTGCAGAACTGCTGCCTAGCCATACGGTCCCTAGTCTGTAGCGGTGCACGGGATTCTTCCATCCTAAGTGCAGGACTATGCACTTGTCCTTGTTGAACCTCATCAGATTTCTTTTGGCCCAATCCTCCAATTTGTCTAGGTCCCTCTGTATCCTATCCCTACCTGCCACCGTATCTACCACTCCTCCCAGTTTAGTGTCATCTGCAAACTTGCTGAGGGTGCAATCCACACCATCCTCCAGATCATTTATGAAGATACTGAACAAAACCGGCACCAGGACAGACCCTTGGGACACTCCACTTGATACCGGCTGCCAACTAGACATGGAGCCATTGATCACTACCCGTTGAGCCCGACAATCTAGCCAGCTTTCTATCCATCTTATAGTCCATTCATCCAGCCCATACTTCTTTAACTTGCTGGCAAGAATACTGTGGGAGACCATGTCAAAAGCTTTGCTAAAGTCAAAGAACAACACGTCCACTGCTTTCCCCTCATCCACAGAGCCAGTTCTCGTCATAGAGGGCAATTAGATTAGTCAGGCATGACTTGCCCTTGGTGAATCCATGCTGACTGTTCCTGATCACTTTCCTCTCCTCTAAGTGCTTCAGAATTGATTCCTTGAGGACCTGCTCCATGATTTTTCCAGGGACTGAAGTGAGGCTGACTGGCCTGTAGTTCCCAGGATCCTCCTTCTTCCCTTTTTTAAAGATGGGCACTACATTAGCCTGTTTCCAGTCGTCCGGCACTTCCCCCGATCGCCATGAGTTTTCAAAGATAATGGCCAATGGCTCTGTAA